CATACACAGGTGGTGCCACCAGGAGGCCACTGTCCTGATGTCCAGTTTCTATTGTGGGCTGGCCTTACGGGCACTCTGACCCCATCAGCTCTAGTTCCAGGAGTCAGTTGGTACTGCCTGACCCATGACCCCAGGATGTGTGTAGTGGCAACAGCTTTAATCTCAGCACTTGGGAGGAAGGTGGATTTCTGTGAGTTCAAGACTAGCCTGTCTTCAAAGCAAGTTCCAGGCCAGCCAGGGCTACATTCTAAAAAACAGACAAGCCAGGTGGTGGTGGCACATGCCTTTAATCCCAGTACTTGAGAGGCAGAGGGGATCTCTGTGAGTTTGAGGCCAGCCTGGGCTACAGAGTGAGTTCCAGGACTGGATCCATAGCTATTGAGAAACCCTGTCATGAAAAACTTTTTTAAAAAAAAATCCTTCCACCTAAGTCTCATAGCTTAGACTTTGCAGTCTGTCCCCCATGTCAGATAGATAAGGATACTCCTGTAGGATAAATTATCACCAGGTTACAGTACACTCTCCTGAATCAAGAAAGGTACAGAGTAGACAGTCTATGCAGCAGCTCACAGGGTGACCTTTTTTAAAGAAAGGCCACCTGTCTCAGCCATGCAGTGGGGAATCTCAGCATATTGACCCACCTCAGGGCCCAGCCAACCTGGCCAGACCAGAGGCAGCCAGTGTCACTGTGAACGCTAGGCGTTCGTGTTGCCCTCCACAGGTGGAGGTGATGAATACTGAGGCTCCCTGTAAGTGCTGGACTCCAGCCTGTTTGCTCAGGACCAACCTGTGCCTCAGACACCTGGTCAGATAGTCTTAACATCTTAACATCTTCGACCAGCATATATAAAAAATTGTCAGGGAAAACACATTTGATTGGTTCTTGAAGCCAAGATGACCTGCTGTTGTCTGAGCCGCCTCATGAGCCAGGATGGCCTGTCCCTGGCTACTGGAAGGGGCCTAGCTCGAGGACACGCAGTTGTCTTCATACTGCTTTGCCTTGCTCACTGTGTGCACCATAGCTGACGCGGTTCCTCTTCCTACAGAATGGGCTCATGTCTGGACTCATGCAGATGCTGCTGCTGAAGGTGTCGGCCCACATCACTGAGCAGTTAGGCATGGCCCCTGGTGGCGAGTTCAGGGAAGCCTTCAAGGAGGTGGGTGCTAAGGCTTAGGGGATTTGTGAATGCCTCGGTGGGGGCTGGTGGCAGCTACCCATGGCGTTACAAGTACTAACATCCAGCATCTACCTCAGGCCAGCAAGGTACCATTCTGCAAATTCCACTTGGGTGACCGGCCCATCCCAGTCACCTTTAAGAGGGCTATTGCTGCACTCTCCTTCTGGCAGAAGGTCAAGCTGGCCTGGGGCCTGTGCTTCCTGTCGGACCCCATCAGGTAGGACAGCCTCCTGGCCTGTTCCTGGCACAGTCCACACCTGCTATGGTCCCTGCCCTGAGTCAGCAACACAATACGTCCCATGCCTTCATCCCCACAGTCTGAGCTCATGCCCTCTGCCCTCAGCAAAGACGATGTAGAGCGCTGCAAGCAGAAGGACCTGTTGGAGCAGATGATGGCAGAGATGATCGGGGAGTTTCCTGACTTGCACCGAACCATTGTCTCAGAGCGCGATATCTATTTGACGTATATGCTGCGGCAGGCTGCACGGCGCCTTGAGCTTCCCCGTGCCTCTGATGGTGATGGACAGGCCAGGGTGGGAACTCCCCAAGATAATAGCTCTGTGCCTCCCACTGACTTTTGCCCTCCCTCGACAGCTGAGCCCAGGAAGTGTGTCCCATCTGTGGTTGTGGGTGTCGTTGGCATGGGTCATGTGCCTGGCATTGAGAAGAACTGGAGTACCGATCTCAACATCCAGGAGATCATGACGTGAGTGCCCTCCCCACCTCACCCAGCAGTCTCTGCAGCTGCACGTGGTGGTGACCCATACATGTTCCAGCCAGGCCTACCACACCTCTCCCTCCCACAGAGTTCCCCCTCCGTCCATCTCTGGCAGAGTGTCCCGGGTGGCTGTGAAGGCTGCCTTCTTTGGCCTGCTGGGCTACAGTCTTTACTGGATGGGCCGTCGAACCATGAACCTGGTCCTATCACTGCCTGCTGCGCAGTTCTGCCTCCAGAGGGTGAGCGAGGCCCGGCCAGGCCGGTAGGAGGACCATACAAAGAAGAGACCACACCCCGGGGCTCTACTCCTCTGCATCACATCTGGTGCTCCCAAGGAGCTGGCACCACCTGTCCGGGGATGTTCCTGGGTGCAGATGCATCCAAGCCACCCCCTATGGGGGCTTAGGCCAGGCTTACCCTACCTTCCCCATGCCTAGCCCTCCCAAATAAAGAATATTTAATTGTCTGAGCTCAGGCTTCCCAGCAGCCCCACACATACATTGTAGGGGCCCCCATGGGTGTCAGGGCCGTCCACAGTGTCAGGACCCAGTGGCCTAACTCCAAAAGGGCCAAAAGCTGAGGGGAGGCACTGAGGTGCCCCACACCTAACCCCAGGGAGGCACTGAGGTGCCCCACACCTAACCCCAGGGTGGGCCTGGCAAGCTGTTGCTCTACCTACCTCACTGTGCCTTGTGCTCTGGCCGGCAGGAGCAACTGGCCCCGAGTGCATCTCACTGTGGGTTTGGGGCCGGCCAATATGGGGAGCTGGGTGTCCATGCAGCTCCTTCCTGTGGGTGTGTCAGGCCTTTGGCTGGCCTGGACATGCATGCAGCTTTGCCAGCTGCATCTCTGCCTGCAGAGAGTCTGTGGTTTGGATTTTGTTTTTTAATATCAAAAAAGTTTTTACTCAGGTAATTTTGACGTCAAAGAAAAAAACAAACTGAAGCAAATATCAGGAAATACAAGCCTTAAATCCAGCGAGGACAAAGAAGTCTTTTTATTTGTATTTGTGTGCCCCAAGTGGGCAGTGTATGTCAGAGTCAGCTTGGGTGTCCAGGTCAGCCTCTGCTAGACTCCAGTACAGCTCAGTGTGGCATGGGGCTGCCTCAGGTATCAGCCTGCTTCTCTGGCTGCCCTTGGTGCTAGGAGGGGCTTGACCTGATTCCTGTGCATTAGGTGGGATGCCCAGACTGCACTGTGGACAGTAGTGGACCCACTATGGACCACAGACCTAGGACCATGGTTGGCTTGTACACACCCAGCCATTCATGTATACAGGTGTGGCTCCTGGCATACTGCACAGCCTAGCAAGACCAAGACCACTCTGATTATCCTTGTGCTGACTGCCAAATAATGAAACACTGAGCTGGGCAGGGGATACAGGGCTGGTTGGGCTGTGTACTTCTGTCTCACACTTGTGGATTCATTCCCTAGAAAGAGAAATAAATTTTAATTTTGGAAGTTCCCGTTTTGTGAAGTGTATGGAAATGGGACTCAGGTGATGGGGACTGTCTTCCTCTTTTGTCATCTGCCCCCAGGTCTGCAGGATGCTTAGAGGTACTCCTGCATCCCAGAGTACATACTATCCACCTCAGCAAAGTATACGGGCTGGTGCTCACAAGTGCCTAGCAAGGTTATCTGTGTGCCAGCCAAGTGCATGTATTCAGCACCTGTATACCCTCTGGTTCATGCTTCAGGACTGCCTCGCAAACGGGAGAGGGGATACATCATCTCTTGGATGCAAGGTAGACCCTGAAGGTAGCCAGTGAAGTCCATGTTAGTGGCAGCAGCAACAACACAGATCCTCTGGCCAGGGCTGAGGTGCTAAAGCCTATTTTCACAGAAAAAGTCTACATACACAGCATCCTGCCTCCAGTGTAGAGGGAGGGCAAATTCACTAGTGTAATCACACAGCTCCAGGAGCAGAGCTAGGTTCGTTGCAGTTTTAGAAGCCCACTGTGGCCCCAGGAAAAGTTCCAGATGTGAATTCTCAGTGGCTGAAATGAAGTAACACAGCCAGGAAGGAGTGTGCTTGTCCATGCTCAAAGTCTTCTGTGTGAGGCTAATGGGTTTCCCTGAGCACTGGATGCTGTCTACCTCCCATCATCAAGGTTCATACCACCTAGAGTGCAGTTGACAGACACAAAATGGGGATGAAAGGAGATGTGATCACTTCAGAGAGAGGTTCTGTACGTGGTAAGCTCAGACTCCTGCCCTGACCCGATACCCAATCTGCTTCAGCCTTGCCCTAGTGTAATTGTTTACTCAAATTATCCCTATAGTAAGTCTTAGGTGGCCAGCTCCCCGCTCTCCCACAAATCCCACAGGAACACCTACAAGATTTCTGGCCCTTCTCCGGTCAAAACAAATGAGAAAAAAATGTCGTAATGGAAGGGCACTGTATATTCTACATTATAAGAATACATTTATTGTAGAAAGGAATCTACATTGATATGTGCTCTGAATTGAGCAGGAATGTTATCCAAGCATCTGACTCAGGACAAATGAAAGACTCGGGCCCTTGCTTGCAGACCTTCCCCCTGCTCACAGAGAGGGGATGATGGAGAGGAAAGCAACACCGTAAATCTGAAACAATATTGACGTCCTGAGCAGAGGGGCAAGACTCAAGTTTGGAATGACTGACTGCCTTTGTATGTACCTACATAATCTGCTGACTAAAGATTAGATGAAAGCTACTTTAGGATGTTAAACTACTGTCCGAGATTGTTGGCTCTCTGAATAAAGCAGCTCAAAGATTTAATTTCTGTTTTTATGGGTGTGATGGACAGAACCGCCCAAATGCAAAGCACCCAGTGGTGCTGGGGATGACCTTGGCTGCCCATCAGTTAGAGGAGCGGAGCCCCTGGTGGTCTTTTAGGGACGTCACTCGGCCTGTAAGCCCACTTGGAGTATTCCATGTCACCCGGGTGGGAGCTTCGGAGGTCTACTGGTCAGGTACCCTGATGTCAGAGTGTAGAGAGCGCCTCGGGCCCACTCACCTGCAACTTATCGAAGCCCGGAAGTAGACAAAAGAAAGAGAACCAATCAGAGTCACGCTTCTGGGCGTGCCCCTCGCCATCCCAGAATTGGGTGGTGAAAAACTTCCGGTCTTGGCGAGCGAGCTTCCGGCGGCGAGGCGAATGGCCTCCCTTAGAGCCGCGTTAGGGGCTTCTCTCGCGGCTGCCAGGACCCGGCCGCAGTCCGTCGGCCTCGCGCTTCCGGCGCCCGCGCCCTGGTCCGCCTGGGCTGCTGCTATGGAGCCCACGCCGCGCTGGCTAGCGGCGCTGCGCTTCGACAACCGCGCCCTGCGCGCGCTGCCGGTGGAGACGCCGCCGCCCGGACCCGAGGACGTCCTGTCCACCCCGCGGCCGGTGCCCGGAGCCTGCTTCAGCCGCGCACGGCCCGCCCCGCTGCGGCGGCCGCGCCTCGTGGCGCTGTCGGGGCCCGCGCTGGCGCTGCTGGGGCTCGAGGCCAGCGAGGAGGCCGAGGTCGAGGCCGAAGCCGCGCTTTTCTTCAGTGGCAATGCTCTGCTGCCGGGCGCCGAGCCCGCCGCGCACTGCTACTGTGGACACCAGTTCGGCCAGTTCGCTGGGCAGCTGGGCGACGGCGCCGCCATGTACCTGGGCGAGGTGTGCACTGCGGCCGGCGGCGAGCGCTGGGAGCTGCAACTCAAGGGCGCCGGCCCCACGCCCTTCTCCAGGTGCGGAACTCTGGGAGCACCCAGGCGGCCTCCTCCTGCGCGCTTGGGTGAAACGGGAAGGTGCTCAGTGGCGCTCTTGGCCCGGGTTGGGATAGCCAGCCCGACGCCCAGAAGAGCTCCATGGAGGGCTTAGTGCATAGAAGGTGGAGCGTCTTTGCAAAAGGTTTTGTGGAGGAAGGCATAGAGGCCTGACCGGGAGGTGCCCGGTGACAAGACAGAACAGGGAGTTAGGGGCTGTGTTCCCTTTCTGACAGACACTCTGTAGCGGTCCCCAGCTGCCTGTTCTGTCAGGTGAAGCAGAAGGAGCACGCCTCTAACGGCTGCCCGTTATGTTGTCAGAAACACACCGAGGACTTTGGAGCCAGTTCCAGGATTGATACTGTTTGCCCAGTTTTCGGAGGTGAAGTGTTGTACTAGTGGCCTGGCATCTGTTTTCCCATGTTGCTTAAGCAATCTGCTTCCCCAACTTGCCCAGGCTCTAGCAGGCCTCTCTCTGCACCGTCTAGGGACTGGAGGGATAGTCTCTTGTCATACCCACCTTCTCTGTGGCCATTCTCCCAAGCTTGTCAGTTCTAATCGCTCACACACACACACACCATCAGTTGGTTCTTGGATTCCTGTGGGAAGTACCCCAGTGGTCCAAGACAGGCCTGTCCAAATCCATACAGGCCCAAAGAAGCTCTTACCCAAGTCCTGCCACCCAGGTCCAGAGAGCACTTCGGGCTCTGTTTCTGGTTTTCATTACCTGATTGTAAGATGCTTGTTAAGTGACTAAGAGATAGTGAGTTGGGGTTTTATGGCTTGACACTACATCTGCCTCTCTTCCTCCAACCACCAACGTGCCAACCATCCCCCACCAAGTGTCTTCATCTCAGGCGAGTTCTCAGAATAGTGGATTCTTCCTCATCTTCCCACCCCCAAACCTTTGATCTGTGCCCCAAGCCAAATTGATGGTTTCACCTGGCACTCTGCTGCTCACGTGGAGCAAGCTTAGCAGAGGTGTCCACTCCTGAGAAGGGCAGATACCACATTCCAGAGCCCACTTGTTCTGGGAGCGGCTCAAACGTCTTCGTTTTGATATCCTTGTTCACAAGTTACACACACACACACACACACACACACACACAAGCCTGTTGTCAGGATAACTTGATGTCGGAAGGCTTTGTTGTTTATATCTTGTCATGGTGCTGAGAATCAGATCCAGAACCCCACAAGTTCTAGGCTACTACTGAGCCACATATCCAGCCACAAAAGATGCTTTTTGTGCGTACTTTTAGTTGGTGTTTCCATACCTGAGTCAGCTAAAATGTTTCCTTTAAGCCAGAGATCCCTTTGACCCTTGCTTAGGTCTCATAATTGGTGTGTCCGGTCCCTGACCTCAATGCTTTGCCAAGACTTGAGGCTGACATTGGAGGTGGTTGTGGGGTCAAGGCTTCTAGAGCCCCGAGATGGGTAGGTGGACTCTTCCCCTGCCTCCTCCCTGCCTTGAATGTAGGGGCTTTAGGACAAGCCCTTGTGGTAAGCTCAAGAACTCTCCTGCTGGGGGCTGGAGAAATGGCTCAGAGGTTAAGAGGTTTCAGAGGTCCTGAGTTCAATTCCCTACAACCACGTGATGGTTCACAACCATCTAAATGAGATCTGGTGCCCTCTACTGGTGTGTATATATGTTAAATAAGAAATCTTAAAAAAAAAATAATAAAAAAAACCTCTACTGCCAAGCCTCAGTCCTGTGCACAGCAGCCTACCTGCATGCCAGCTTTAGGTTACAGAGAAGCCAGAATTGCCATGTGGTCACACAGCAAAGATGAGAGGGTAACACTGCCGGAAGAGAGCTCACAGGGCAGATCACATTTCCTAGACTCCAACTAGGTTAGCATGGACTATGTTATCCTTTTCTGTCTTGAGACAGGGTCTCACTACATAGCTCTGGCTCTCTTGAAACTTGCCACATGTACTGTGCTAGCCTTGAACTCAGATTCATCTACCTCTGCCTCCCAGGTGCTGGGATTAAAGGCATGTGTCTCCACACCAGACTTGATCTTAAACTTTTGATTCTCCTGTCTTCCACACACTGAGGTTACAGGGCTGTACACAGCGTATTGGTTTGGTTGGTTACAGGTAGGGGCCTCTGTTGGTTAGGGCATCCAAGGCATCCCTCATGCAAGGAGTGACTATGGGTGTGGCCTGTCCAGGTAGGTGAACCATCACTGTGCTGGGCTTCCAATATTGTATTCTGATAAAAACAAAACAGGCCCAGTGTGTGGGAAGAGTTCAAGGTATACAAACTACTTGTAGAATGCAGTTGTGTCCCCCTTTTTGTTCTTTAGATCCCTGTAGCCCTACTGAGTCTGTCACGCGTAGACTTGTGGCCATGCAGGGGTATGACATGCGCTGCTTGTTGCAGCACTACCTACTATGCTGCAGTCACAGCAGTTCCTGCCTGCCCTTTGCGTTTGGAGCAGAGCCTGTGCCCTTCTCTGAGACCCTGGTAACAGCTGCTTCTGTACCTGCTCGCTCAGAGTGCGCCTTAGTGTTTCCATTGCTGTGAAGAGACACCATGACCACGGCAACTCTTATAACGTCAGACGTTTAATTGAAGGGGCTCGCTTAACAGTTTCAGGGCTTCAGTCCAGTATGATCATGAAAGGGAGCATGGCAGTGTGCAGGCAGACGTGCTAGAGCTGAGTGTGCTACATCTTGTAGGCAACAGGAAGTCAACACTTGAGGGAAGCTTGAGAAAAGAGACTTCAAAGCCCACCCCACAGTGACACACACCCTCCAAGGCCACACCTCCTAATAGTGCCACTACCTTTGGGGGCCATTTTCTTTCAAACCTCCACAGGTGATTTTCTGTTTATTTGGTTGGTTGGTTTTTTTTCGAGACAGGGTTTCTCTGTAGCTTTGGAGCCTGTCCTGGAACTAGCGCTTGTAGACCAGGCTGGCCTCAAACTCACAGAGATCTTCCTGCCTCTGCCTCCCAAGTGCTGGGATTAAAGGCGTGCGCCACCACCGCGTGGCCCGTTTTCTGTTTTTCATTATTGCAGAGGGTGCTAATGTGTATAATGCGCTAATTATTGTAACAGGGGTTTGTGTAAAACACTCCTGAAGACAAAACTGCAGGTTTGAAGTGTTTTTCTTCACCCAGCCTTAGTCGTATGACTGCCACACCAAAGCTCTTGTAACCTTTGCCTGACTGGCTCCCTGGCCTGTGTATAATTTCAGACAGGCTGATGGTCGCAAAGTCCTCCGGTCAAGCATCCGTGAGTTCCTGTGCAGTGAAGCCATGTTTCACCTGGGGATCCCCACCACGAGGGCCGGGGCCTGCGTCACATCTGAGTCCACAGTGATTCGCGACGTGTTCTATGATGGTAATCCAAAATATGAAAAGTGCACGGTTGTGTTGCGTATAGCTCCCACTTTTATAAGGTAATGCTGGGGTCCATTAGGCCTGTCTACGTGCACTTGCTCATAGATCGTAGAAGATCCATGCTTCTGCAGCCAGAATGTTGAACCCAGCTCGTGAATAAGCAACAGCACCTGGCTGTGGTCAGGATTTAACCCCAGATGCCTCTTGATGCCCCTTGACCAAGAACCACATAGAATTTCCACAAGAAAATGGCCTCATTTCGTGTCACCATAAGCAGACACCTATAGCTTTTTTCTTAGTCATTAACCTGGGCCTATCTGGCAGGTTCTTTTGTACCTTAGCTTGGAGCCAGCCATCTGAATGAGGAACTCCCAGGAGGTGGCTAGTATGTTCTTACGGCTCTCCATCCTGTCATGCCCAGACTAGTTGGCAATCTGTTACTCACCACCCACCCCACACACTGTTGGTCTCTGGCTTTTTCTGACCTCTGGGAGGATGGAAAGAGGCCAGAGATGATAACCTCTTCACTCTAGATGTCCTTCACCCTAACTTGGTAACATTTGAGTAGAAGCCTTCCTGTGCCGTGTACAATGTTGATAGCATCACTGGCCTCTGCCCACCAATTACCAGTAGCAACACAGTTACAATAAAAAAAAAAAATACCAGCCGGGCATGGTGGCACACACCTTTAATCCCAGCACTCGTGAGGCAGAGGCAGGCAGATCTCTGAGTTTTGAGGCCAGCCTGGTCTACAGAGCGAGTTCCAGAACAGCCAGGGCTACACAGAGAAACCCTGTCTCTGGTTAACAAAAGTCTCTGTACACGACCAGTTTCCCTGTGGGACAGCCACCCTGCCATGTATTCTCTCTGGTGGAGCCAGCCCTGCTGGTCTTCATAGTGTTTGGGGTATGCACAAAACCCTGTGTGGAGTTGGAGTTGCCAAAGTAGACAGCCATGGTGGTTTCTGGGCCTGATGGGCCTCCCAGGATCTGGGAACTAGAGATGAGATTAATTGTCAAGTCTGTTACTCAGAGATCTGGCTAGGCTCTGGCTGGGTGTGGCTTTGTCTATTCGCGTGTTCTTTCCATTGTAGGGCTCCAAGGCTTTGTAGCCATGCTGGTGTTTCTTTTTCTCACAAAGGGATGGGGTCTGTCTGACATATTGAACACTGGGGTTTTTTCTGCAGATTTGGCTCCTTTGAAATTTTTAAGCCCCCAGATGAATACACAGGGCGTGCAGGCCCTAGCGTGGGACGAAATGATATCCGAGTGCAGATGCTCGACTATGTGATCAGCTCTTTCTACCCTGAAATCCAGGCTGCCCATACCTGTGACAGTGACAACATACAGAGGAACGCTGCCTTTTTCAGAGAGGTAGGCAGGTTTCCCACTGGCCCTCCCCAATGACCATGGGTTGAGTGCTACTTGTTGGCCAATATGGTCACTGTGGCCAGAGACAGAGGCCTTTATCTGGTATCCCTGTCCTTTTCTGCTCCTTGCTGCTGCTCTCTGGTCTCATCATCTCCCTCAGCCTCATGAACCAGGGCTTTGTTATTTTGAGACAGTTTTACCAAGTAGCATTGGCTAGCCTGGAACTTGCTGTAAACCAGGCTGGTCTCAGACTCATAAAGATCCACTTGCTCTGCCTCCTGAGTGTTGGGGTTAAAGGCATGTGTTCGCCACACCCTATACACCAGGGCGTTTTGATGCTTTGACAAGACACCTGGTGCTGAGTACACCTATAAGAACTAAGAGGCCCAGCTAGTCTTGGAAGGAAGGACGCATGGACAGAAGCACTGTTGAGTGCTGGATACCTACTGCATGGGTCGGTGGCCTCAACCCAGCACACCCACATGGTATCTCAACTTGGGAGAAGAGATGTGGACACCCCGCCCCCCCAGCAAAGACCAGGCATAGTTCTGTTTCTGTGTGGCTTGGGCTAGACTACTACAAGTTATTGCAGCAGAATACTCCAAGCATGAGTCCGTGGGGCTTTGTCCCACACCATGTCACTTCTATTTCCCACCTCTGGCACAGTTGCTGGGGATGTGGTGTGACATAGCCACAAAGCACCAGGAGGAGCTGTGAGGCTCAGCTTTCTGCTCTCATAAGCTCCTGTCTTTGTCATGAAACTGGAAGGCCAGTACTCTCTGGTTCCCAGGAACTCCTGGGCTTTTCACACCGGTGAGGCACAAAAGGTCATTTGCTTGGGCGGTAGGGGCTGTGCTGTAGTCCTGTGCTTGGGCTCCTGTTCTCCAGGCCACACTGGACTTATGTTCAGGGTCACTGGTGGGCTGTTGGTGGCATGGCTGTATAGCACCCAGTGTGGAGATGGAATAGGAATGTCTAGGAAATAAGCAACTGACAAGTGTGGAGTTTTCCTGGGCCTCAGTCTGGGACGCTGATTTTTATGCTTTATCCAGAATTGGTAGCAGATAAAAGAAGAGGTGGTAAAAATGGAACTTAGGCCCATATAAATCAACTCACCCCAAACATAATTCTGAAACACTGAGTGGTAAAGGGAGTATTTATAGAGGGCCCTAGACTGAGATCTGCTTAGAGAAAACCCACTGGCATCCAGGAGATGCGCTGGGTGCTCTGGCGTGAGGAAGGGCCTGTCCTGCTCCAGGTGACACGACGCACAGCACGGATGGTGGCCGAGTGGCAGTGCGTTGGCTTCTGCCACGGAGTACTCAACACGGACAACATGAGCATCGTGGGGCTCACTATTGACTATGGACCCTTTGGCTTCCTGGACAGGTAATGTCCTTAGGGTTACAGGTGACGGAGCTTTTGCCTGTTGGCCACAGCGTAGGGTCATGGGTATGGGAAAGTAGCAGGGAACAGGCCTACATGCTGCTCATGTGCCTTTTTTCAATGTTTCATTCCCAGCAGTGTCTGGTCAGCCATTCCTACAAGCCAGAAATCAAGGGGTTTTTTGGAACTCACTGTGTAATCCAGGCTGGTCTTGAACTTATGATCCTCCTGTTTTAGGCTCCTGAATGATAGGATTATAGGAGTTAGAACAAGTCCCTTCACTGACAGGGTTTAAGTGGGTCAAAGGAGTGGGAGTACGGGGGAGGAGGCAGAGCAGAGACAGGTGGTAAGGATGGGGGTGCTATATCCAATAGCTTAAGTCTATATGGTCTCAAGGAGCTTCCCCCTGGCCTTGAGGCTTAACTGGTTGTGTTTAGGTATAACAAAGTACAGCTATCCTAGAGTTCTTGGCCTGGGCCCACAGGACCTGACAGAGCACGGGTGGGGTCGCATTGGCATAGTCATCAGTCTTCCCCAGGAGCCTGCCCTCACTGCGTCTCCTCTGATAGCACTTCTTTGTGTGGCAGATATGACCCTGACCATGTGTGCAATGCCTCTGACAATGCTGGGCGCTACACATATAGCAAGCAGCCTCAGGTGTGCAAGTGGAATCTGCAGAAACTGGCTGAAGCCCTGGAGCCTGAGCTGCCACTTGCTCTGGGTGAGGCCATCCTAGCAGAGGAGTTTGACAGCGAATTCCAAAGGCACTATCTACAGAAGATGCGTAAGAAGCTGGGCCTTATTCGAGTGGAGCAGGAAGAAGATGGGACACTTGTGGCCAAGCTTCTGGAGACCATGCATCTGACTGGTGAGCCACAGAACCATCATTATGGGCAAATATTCAGTGGCATTGAGGACATTCTCATTTCCCAGACTGGAATTGTCTCCTTTAAATGTTCCTTGTCTACCTCCCCAAACATCTACTACTCTAGGGACCTCAGTAGGATTTGTCTGTGACGGATTCTACTACACAGAAGATCCATAGGTTCTTCCATGTTGTAACATGTCTGAATTTAGTTCCCTTTTTAATGCTGAATATCCAGTGTCTATGGTAATGATCCCCTTGAGTCATTTTTGTTTTTTTTGTTTTGAGACAAAGTTTCTCTGTGGAACAGTCCTGGCTGTCCTGGAAATCACTTTGTAGACTGGGCTGCCTCAAACTCACTGAGATCCGCCTACCTCTACCTCCCAAGTGCTGGGATTAAAGGCGTGCTCCACTACTGTCAGGCCACCCCATTGGTTTTTTTATTATGTTCATTGATGTTTGCCTGCATGTATGTCTATGTGAGGGTGTCAAAGTCCTGGAACTGGAGTTAATACAGTTGTGAGCTACCATGTGGGTGCTGGGAATTGAACCCTGGTCCTCTGGTAGAGCAGTGCTCTCAACCTCTTATCCATCTCTCCAGCCTATGTTTTCACCTTTTTGAGACAGGGTCTCACTGTGTAGGTCCTAGTCGGCCTGGAACTTGCAATGTAGACCAGGCTAGCCTCAAACTCAAGAAAACTGCTTGCCTCTGTCCCTGGAGTGCTAAGATTAAAGATGTGTGCCATCACAGTCCCTGGCCTTATTTCTTAAATCTTTTATTTATTTTTGATTTATTTTATGTGCATTGGTGATTTGCCATGGGTGTCNCCTTATTTCTTAAATCTTTTATTTATTTTTGATTTATTTTATGTGCATTGGTGATTTGCCATGGGTGTCAGGTCCCCTGGAATTGGAATTACAGACAGTTGTGAGCTGCCATGTGGGTGCTGGGAATCGAACTCAGGACCTTTGGAAGAGCAGTCAGTGCTCTTAACCACTGAGCCATCTCTCCAGCCCTCCCTGGCCTTTTTAAAAACTATTTATTATTCTGTGTGTGGAGGCAGATGTGCCTATGACCCTACAAGCATGGCAGTCATTTGCAGGAACCATCTCTCCTACCATGTTGATCCTGGGTAATGAGCACAGGTTGTCACAGTGGCAAGTGGCTCTATCCATTGAGCCACATTGTTTTGAAACTGGGTGCTGAGCTGGGGAGATGATGGATAAGAGTGCTTGCTCTGCAAGGATGAGAACCCAAGCCCTAACCCATAGCACCCACATAAAAAGGCAGGTAACCTCAACATTGCAGGTGGGGTAGGGAGCTTCCAGTTGAGTGTCTTGAATAAAGCAAGGCCTAGAGCAATAGAGGAAGGCAGCAGAGATCTTGCTCTAGCCTTCTTATGCATGCATCATATAGACTGGGAAGGCTGGTGAGATGGCCCATCACAGAGAGCTTGCTCTCCAGTATCCAACCCTGAGAACCTGTGTTTGACTCCCAGAACCACAGAAAGATGGGCGAGAACTTATTCTATAAAGATGTCCTCTGACTTCCACACATGTACCACAGCATGTAAGCACAAGATAAACTGGATTTTGCTATCTGGCCTAGAACTTGACAGCCTCCTTCGTACTGTGTGATTATAGGTATGTACTGCTACACCTGATTTCTCATTTTATAAATTTGTTTTTCAAGACAGGGTTTCTCTGTGTAGCCCTGACTGTCCTGGAACTTGTAGATATCCGCCTGAAGGCTTGTGCCACCACCACTTGGCTTTATTTTGTTTTTAAGAAATTATTGTGTCCACATGCATACTACAGTGTTGTACATGGCAGAGGTAGAAGAACAATTTCTAAAAGTCAATTATAGTTCCATGATTTGGGTCTTGGGGATCAAACTAGGGCCAGTACATACGGCAGTAAGCCATATCCATTGTCCACTGAGCAATCTTACCAGCCCTCATTTCCCGTTTATGTGTATGTTGCTTAGGAGTTGCATGGTTCCAAGTAAAGATTATTGCTAGTCAGGCTGACAGCTACAGTGTATCAAGTATGTTTGTAAACAGGTGTATCAAGGTGCCCTAGGCAAGCACTGTGACTGGGGCTCCCATGCTAGCCTTGGTTTTTGTCAGTGTCAATCCATTTTCCAGGTGACCTACAAAGGACTTGTAACAGATGTCTATGGCTAAGAAAATGGGCTGGGCAGGAGTTAAGGAGCCGGCATCTGCCTCCCAGCACCTGAGCAGCTCGTTTTTCAGGTGCTGACTTCACAAACACCTTCTATATGCTGAGCTCCTTCCCGACCGAACCATCGGACTCAGCAGAGTTCCTAACCAGGCTGACCTCCCAGTGTGCCTCTCTGGAAGAACTAAGGCTTGCCTTCCGACCCCAGATGGATCCACGGTGAGCAGACCCTTGGATTTCTTTTCAGAAGGGGAACAGCAGGGAGGTTGGAGACTGCCAGTAAGAATCCTTCACAGGTGCACCGGGAGCCTTGCAGCTGCCCCATTCCTGTGCATGAAATGCAGTAAGGCCACATTTCTGCAGCATTGAGGACCAGGGCACTAACACGAAGAAAGCAGAACACACGTGGACTGGGATGGAGATGCCAAGCATACTGTGTCTTCCATACCATCTCCTACAGGGTGTGCACACTGTCCAGAGATGTGGGAAATGCTGGTAGTGGCTTATGGCTATCAAATAACAACACAGAGGCTAGTCATGCAGATGGAATTTAGTGGAGACTGGAGCAGTAATCATTAAGAAGAAATGGCACTTCAGATTTGGTGGAAACACCCTGGTCAGATGGTCTCTCACCTCCTCAGCTAACTACAATGCCTGGGTCCAGGGCAATCTGAAAGTTGCCCCAGCACCTGAGTCATATGGCTATCTACAAAGCAGCCAACCTCACAGCAAGACAAAGTCTGTATACTGCCCCCTGGCTGAGGTATTCCCATGCCGCCCCTCCCTGCAGGCAACTCTCTATGATGCTGATGCTTGCACAGTCGAATCCACAGCTCTTTGCACTCATTGGCACTCAAGCAAATGTCACAAAGGAACTAGAGCGTGTGGAACAACAGTCACGGCTGGAACAGCTGAGCCCCGCTGAATTGCAGAGCAGAAACACAGACCACTGGGAAACCTGGCTACAGAAGTACAGGTAAGCAACTTCCAGGGTCACTTGTCCGGGCTCCTTGGCACAGTGGCACAAGGAGGTGGCTGCAGATGGCTCTGAATTGGGGGGAACGGAGCAAGCTTTTCTTGTTGGGAAAACCCAGCTAGGGATATGATTCCAGAGTCCGTCTGGACAAGGAGAAGGAGGGCGTCGGAGATACTGCTGCCTGGCAGGCCGAACGTATGCGCATCATGCATGCCAACAACCCCAAGTACGTCCTAAGGAACTATATTGCACAGAATGCCATTGAAGCTGCTGAAAACGGAGACTTTTCTGAGGCAAGTACACACCTGTGCCTACTACGTCCCTGGGAGGAAGGGCTGCCATTAAATATGCCCCTCACCTAATTCTTCTCACCTGTTCTCTAGGTGCGACGTGTCCTGAAGCTGCTAGAATCTCCTTACTACAGTGACGAGGCAGCCACTGAGGCCACAGGCCCTGAAGCAGTGGCAAGGACCACTGATGAGCAGTGTTCCTATAGCAGCAGGCCACCCCTCTGGGCGGCAGAACTCTGCGTAACATGATCCTCATAAAGGCCTCGGTGTCCTCACATGTCTGGAGTCCCCCGAGGCCTCCCCAGCGCTGCTGAGTTGCTGAGACCACTGGGATCCCTACCCTAATGGTCTCTCCATGATGGCAGAGATCTCCAGTCAAAACCTGACCCATCTCTGTCTGATACCACCTTAGCAGTATTGCTCTGACCTAGCACTCGACATGCCCCCAGCACACTGTGCTTCATGCCAGTATAGGAGCTGTTTCATGCTTTTAAGTGGTATAAACAGGGCTAAATAAGCCTTGTAGCCTGTTTGCACATCTGCCCCAAAGGGCTGGGCCTGACACCTGTTAAAACTCCCAGGCCGCTAAATAAAGCAGCTTTTTCAGGTCTGTCTGTGTGCTCGCTACCCTAGCCCCAGACAGGTTCAATGGAGATTCAGCACCATGATCTTGTCTGTCCTCAGGAGTCCTGGTAGTAGTTGTTGAAGTTGATGCGAAGCAGGAAGTCCTCAAGGTGAGGCTGGTACCCACGGTTCACAAGGTTGGTCACCACTGGAGAAGCATTCAACTCTCAGACCCTGCCCACCCTGTGCCTTGCCACCCCAGCAGCCCAGCCCAAAGGAGGGCTCACCTTTGAAGAGGAAGTGGGAGTAGTACTTGAAGGTGCTGTAGGACTGCTGCATGAGTGGGAAGTTGGGGTGCTCAGCTCCACGGGGGCCAGTAGCCGGGCCCCAGGTCTGAGAGATGAGCTGGCTTCGGAACTTGAGCACCAGGCTGAAGATGCTATGGATGATGTTCATGACTGGTGCTGCCTTCTCTGTCAGTAGGCCCCTAGTAGAGGGTAGAGCTGCTGGTGGTCTGCCCAGTGACCTGGGCACACCCAAATGTAGGTGCCTGTCTCACCTGAAAACAGCCCTGTGCAGGTACTCGGCTTGGGCACGCTGGATCTCCTCCAAGTCGGCCACTACGGCTAGCCGGGCTCTGAACTCACACCAGCTGACATGCAAGATCTGGTTTGCAATATAGCCCTGGATGACCTTCACGAAATGCTGCATCTCATGCTTAAACAGCTGCAGCTGGCGGAACTGCACTGAGCCAGCTGTGTGGCTCACTAGGGCTGTTGGAGAACAAACAGGGTGAGTGTCAGCCTGAAGCCACATATGGGATGAACTTAGGCCAGGCCCTACCTGTGCGCTTGAGGTGGAAGCAGATGTCTTTGAGTGTCCACATCATGAGCTTCAACTGCAACAGGAAGGAGAAGATACCACTGTACTTGTTCAGGCAGCTCTCGGTGATAACGATGTTGAGGGGCCAGTCAACCTGTTTAGGAACCTCCACTTAGCACCTGCAGCTGCAGGTGAAGCCTCCCCTCCACACCCATGGCAGGACACTGCTGACCTTGTACCTGAGCTCCAGGCAGCTCAGCACATCAGGGGCATTAGGGGCAAACACCTCAGGCAGGTACTTGAGGGCAAGAGACAGGTTGGTAGCATGTGGGGTGTCCCCATGGAGGCTATACTGCAGTGCCTTGCTCAGGATGCTGTTAAGGACCAATGGGTTGAGCAGCTCCCCAGGTGTCTGTCCAGCCCCTAACTAAGGAAGTGAAGAGACTATGTTTCAAGGAGTTCCAGGTTTATGTCCTTCCCTCCCTACTTGCCTAGCAACCCAAGTTCTGCCCAAGCAGCACTATCACCATGTTGCTAGGAACTGGGAGGGCCTGAGGCCTGCAGCCACCCACATCCTACCCACAACACTTCTACTGGTCAGCCTGATTCCAACTCCAACCTTCTCAAAGAGCAGGTCACTAAGAGACTGGGCAAACTCTCCATCTTCCATCAGCAGGAAATGCCGCAGCGCTTCAAAATGTGTCTCCAGGTGCAATTCCACAAAGAAATAGTCAACTGCAGCTTTGTTCACCAAGGTGACACTGGTGGGGGGAAGCTGGAAGTTAGGGCGGCAGGCAGGAAAGGGCAGGTAGTTGCAGTTGGGCAGGTAGCGGCACTCACTGGGCAGCCAGAGGTGCGGTAAGGGAGCGCTTCATAAGAACAGGCAAGGTCAGCAGCTCACTTAGCTGCACTGCACTCTCATCTACTGCTGACTGAACCTGGGGATCCACAGGGAAAGTAAAGGCCTGGGGAAGCATGTGGTGTACCAGGTGCGCAACAGGAGGTTCTGCTGTGGGGTAAAAAAAACAGACGTGCTGAAACTTAGGCATGCAGTGGCCTAGAGCACCCAGCCCCCACCGCCCACTGTAGCTGACGCACTCACACATAGACTCATAGCTGTCTGGGTACTGCTCCAGGTGGTAGAGCTTTGTGAGGTCTGCCAAATAGGCTTGCTCCTTGCCCCAGCGTCTGGCCTCAGTCTCTGTGTCCGATAACTCCTCACTAGGGCCTGGGCTGCTTGGGACAGCTGTGTCTTCCTAAAAAGAGGTCAACCTCAAGAACTGCATCCCCATCCAGTACACTCTGCCCTGTCCCCCCACTTTGCCCGTGCTGAAAATGGGCATATAGGAACCACATGTGATGACATTCCCTACATGGTTCCCTGACCTGTGAGCTTGGAGGCCATGGAGAGAGGTCTTCAGCATCCCTGTTCCTCCCTGAACCTGGAAAGATACAAAATGGGTAGGAGGGCCAAGTACCTGATGAGGGGACAATGAGGCTGGCCCAGAGAACCCCTCCAGAACTCCACAGCAGCAACTTAATCCTGGCTGACAAACAAGGATCTCAGAAGACAGCCTGACCCTGCTTTCTACTGTGCCATGGTCCCACCCCGACCATCAGTGCCCACTCTCACCTGTCTCCTCAGGGATACCATTTTTTAGCGTGCCAGCCTCAGCCACAACAGGGGGCTTGGTTGGGCTGCCTTCTTCTGTGCTGCCAGGGCTAGAACAGGTGGTAGGCTTCATTTCTTTAGGTAGTTGTGGCCCACATTCCAGAACAGGGCTCTGTGCTTCCACACAAAGGCCTGACTGGGACACATGGGCAGGAGAGCACTGATGGGACTCGAGTAGGTCGGGCTCAGCTTCTGGCAAGGGCTCCTCCAGAATCAAGGGAGGCTGAGTACAGTCACGTGGCTGAAGAGCCTCTTCTGACACATTCTCCCCAATCCTGATGCTTGCCTCTGACACATGACCATGGACATTCCAACGTGGTCGAGAAGGAGCCACATCTGATACATTCTCCCCAACCTTAATGCTTGCCTCTGACACATGTCCGTGGACGTTCCAACGTGGCCGAGAAGGAGTCACATTTGATACATTCTCCCCAACCCTGATGCTGGCATCTGACACATGACCATGAATGTTCCATCGTGGCCGAGAAGGAATCACATCTGATACATTCTCCCCTACCTTGATGCTGGCATCTGATACATGTCCATGGACATTCCACCGTGGCCTATGAGGAGCCATCTCTGATACATTCTCCCCAACTCTGATGCTGGCCTCCGACACATGTCCATGGATGTTCCACTGTGGCCGAGGAAGAGCCACGTCTGACATAGAGTCCCCCTGCTTGATGCTGGCATCTGACACACATGTGGAAGTGCTCCTAAGTTGCTGGCAAGGAACCATTCCAGAAGCAAGGCTCTCTATGGGGACAGCACTCCCTGACATATGTTCAAGGAGCTGCCCCACAGGCTGGGAGTTCCCATCCTCAGGAGTGTCCTGCTTGAGTGGATGTGGGCAAGGCAAAGTCTCCTGCATGTCATGGACACATGAATCAAGTTTTGTGGGCATGTCCCCCAGTAGATGCTGCTTTTCATTGTCCAAACTATTTTGGACATCCTGGAAGGGTTCTGGTAAAGAGGAGGTGGCCAAAGCTGGCCTCAGGACAGTATTGAAATCATACTCTGACTGGGCAGGCTGGGGCCCAGCTGCTGTGAGTGCTGGCCCTGGAGTTATAGTGGGTAGGTCTGAGCTGATGGTCTGCAGTGCCACCTCTAAGAAGGGAGTACCAATGTTATCCATAGGCTGTTCAATCCCAGGGCCCATAGGCAGAAAGTCTGTAATGTTGACACCAGTAGAGAACGGCCCTGCTCCCTCTGCCTGTCCAGCCCCAGAGTTATCAGCTCCCTCTGCTGCAGACTTGTGGGCTGATGGTGTTGATGCACCGGGTAGACTTAGACAATCCCTACACTGTTCTGTGGACCCCAGATCACTGCTATGGCCTTCATCTGCATGCTCAGTACCCGGAGATGTGACCTGAAACACAGGACATATTGAATTCCTCCAGTCATTTAACCCTGTCTCCCAGGTGAGCTCAGTGACCAACACCTACTAAGTGCTGATGGACATAGGACAACCAGGCCAGAGCATCTAACTCAGAGTCCCAGCAGGGCTTCCAAGATCCTGCTAGAGCCTATTACCTGAGAGCACGTGCTTGGGAACACACTCGACGGCTTCTGGGGCTGGTGAGCCTCCATGTCACTCAGCATCTCCTGAAATTCAAACCCACAGAAAAGACACAGTAGCTCTGTAGAGTGACCAACAGAGCTGGCACAAACCACAGCCTTCACACAGTACCCCTCACCCATCACAGATGCCACTGGCCCTGCTGCCCACTCACTGTCCAGGTTTGGCTGGAATCCTGAGCCTCAGCAAGTACCATCTGTGCCCTTATACAACAGGATGGCGTGAGGACATAACTGTGTGCAAGAGCTGGCAGCTGACACCATTGCCATACCTGAATGCGCTTCTGGTCTTCGAGGAGAAAACGAAGCCGTGCGCTTTCCAGCCGATGCCTCTGGATTCTCCACAGAGCCTTCTGCTCCCGACGAGCTGCCTCTGCAGACAACTTGCTATAATGGTCAACCAGCGCCTGCCTGAAGCCACATGCAGAGGACATGGTCACCACCACCACCACTCTGCACCAGCTGGTTGGCATGCTCAGGCTAAGATGGCTCTCCAGGTAGGCCCCCCTCCCAAGACTTCTGTTCTCCATCTTCCCCACAACAGACTGGGCTCTCAGTGTGGCCTTGTTGCCCACCACACTGAAAGGCTCCAATGGACAGATGCCCCCATGGGGACTTGGCACTGCTGGTGGACAAATTGCCCGAAAAAAAATGTACATGGCCAGAGATAAGAGAATAAGCAGGTGGCTGAGGTCAGCCTGATGGAACCAGGCCATATTTCTTTACTGCACAGTAGACCTCTTCCATCTGCATGTTCAAATCCAAGAGAACTGGAGACTGGCAAAAAGAACAAAATCAATGAAAACCTGGGGATTCCAAGCCTCCTACTACTGGGCATTGAGGCACAATGCACCATCTCCAGTTTGGCTGGCACAAGTCAGGAGCATGGCCTCTATGTCTGTTTTCCTCTTATGTGAACAGAGTATCTACCCACGTGTGTGTGTGTGTGTGTGTGTGTGTGTGTATGCACATAGCACAAGCCAGAGGCAACCCCTCATTTGCCCTGTAAATAGTATCTAAGCTGGAACAGCTGAGCTTAAGGGCACCAAAGAATATGTAGCCAGTCCCTGCTATAAACACCTTCCACTGAAACAATGAGCCAGTTTCCAGGACAAACTAATGACACAAAGAGGAAACAGACTCAAGAACTGTGCTAGATTAATGGCCCATTGCTCTGTTGGGCCAGAAACAGGTTTGAATAAAAAAAATAAAAAAATAAAAAAAAAAAACGCCCAGCATGGTGGCAAATGCCTTTAATCCCAGCCTCAGCAAGCGGATCTCTGTGAGTTCAAGGCCAGCATGGTCTACAAAGTGAATTTCAGGACAGTCAGGGCTGTTACACAGAGAAACCCTGTCCAAAAACAAACAGCCACAGAAGGTGTAATGGCATACACCTATAATCACAGCACTAGGAAGGCTGAGACAGAAGGACTAGAAATTTACAGCCAGCTGGCTGGCTACACAGCAAGATCCTGTAGACGTGGTTCAAAGGTAATGCTTACTTGTATGCACAAGGCCCAAAGTTGGCTCCACAGCACCACAAAATAAATAATATTAACGAACAGTCAGGACAGCAAATACATATTATGTGTACTGGGGATGGACCCCAAAGCATAGCCTAAGGGCTCTAACCCCTTATCCCAGGAGAACATCCTGGTCCAGCAGACTTACTAGTTAGTCTTTCTGTCTTGATATAGGCACAGCCGGGCAGTGGTGGTGCACACCTTTAATCAGAGGCAGGCAGATCTCTGTGAGTTTGAGGCCAGCCTGGTTTACAAGAGCTAGTTCCAGGACAGGCTCCAAAGCTACAAAGAAACCCTGTCTCGAAAAACCTAAGGAAAAAAAACCACGCCGAGTGGTGGTGGCGTACACCTTTAATCCCAGCACTCAGGAGGCAGAGGCAGGCGGATCTCTGTGAGTTCGAGGCCAGCCTGGTCTACAGAGCTAGTTCCAGGACAGGCTCCAAAGCTACAGAAAAACCCTATCTCAAGAAAGAAAGAAAGAAAGAAAGAAAGAAAGAAAGAAAGAAAGAAAGAAAGGAAGGAAGGAAGGAAGGAAGGAAGGAAGGAAGGAAGGAAGGAAGGAAGGAAGGAAGGAAGGAAGGAAGGAAGGAAGGAAGGAAGGAAGGAAGGAAGGAGAAAAAGAAAAGAAAACAAAAGGAAGGAAAAGAGAAGAAAAAAGAAAAAAACAGCCAAATAAAAGAAATGTTGCTCACTGGTAGAGCACTTGCCTAGCAACATTGGGACCTTGGAATTGATTCCTAGCATCAAAGAAAACGAAGACAACGTAAAATAACCATCATTAGTTTGTACTAAATCAGCACTGTGGAACCTGCTGCCACACAGCCCTACCTGGCCTTTCTCTCCAGCTCTTCTTCCAAGGCCTTTAGCCTCTTCTCCCGGTCACGGAGCTCACGAGCATAGCTGAAATCATCATCTAGCTCCTCTTTTCTAGCCGCCAGGCGTCGCTACACAACACAGACAGCCTCGTTTACTAAGTCAAAGATTCCAGGAGTCAGAACCACCCAGAACCCAGACCACCCACCTCCTGATCCTTTAGAAACTGTTCCTTCAGCCGCTGAAATTGCTCTCGCTTCCTAGTGTCCACAGCCATCTGTTCTGACATCTGTCGGTCTTAGAGAGAAGGTGAGAGGCATATGCAATTGTGAAGAGCCCAGCAGGAAACCCAGCAGAGTGGAGGAAAGGTCTGGAACTGCACTCACCACTCAGCTCAGTTAGGATCCTAGAAGCTGCTTCCCGGGCATGGACAATCAATTCTTGTTTTGCAATTTCCATACGCAATTCCTAAAATACAATAAGCAAAACATCTTAATGCCCTTTCCTTCTCCTAGGACAGAGTGGAAAGAACACTATCCTAGTTCTCCAAAACAACCTGCTGCTGGCCACTGTTATGAGATGCCCTTCCCAACCTACACAGAATGTTAGCAGGTGATGCCTCACCCAAGGCTGGGAAGACAGGGAGGCCTCCCCCTTGCAGCAGCAAATAGGAAGTGACTATGTACCCAGAGATAAGTGAAGGGCTCACGGGCAGTGTCGCTCCTGAGTCTGTCTTTGCCTGGTCTCTCCTGCTGCCATTGATTGGCACTGGCCAGTCACTAATGTCTTTCCTAGAGTACACTGGAGAATTATGGTGCTGCTTCCAGGAACATACCCATTATTTGTAAAGACTACTGAAGTGGAGGAACTTTAGGCCTTGCTGCCTAGATTTTCCAAACATGGGTAAAACCTGGAATGCAGACAAGGTCACCCAGACTTGGAAACAAAAATAAAAAGGCCAAAGGCCCTGTTCTGAATACCTGTCACCAAGCACCCTGGGTGTCCCCACCTAAACATACTACCAGGACAGAGACACCAGAAAGAGCCACTCTTCCTTACATGCCCCATGCCCAGTACTTCTTCTTGCCCCTGAATCTGCCTGGCTGTCCCCTACTGCCCATTAGTACCAGGCAAGAAGTTGTTGAGACTGGCACTGGCCCACCACTGGGATGGGAGCTCCATAAGCCCAGAATCCCAGGAAGTGAAGGGAAGCACAGAGAAAGCCAAACTCCCACAGCCAAGCACCTTTTCCTCCTTGCTGATAGAGCTGTGACGGGCAACACTCTCCATTCGCCCAACATAGACAGCACAGTCCTTCTCAATCTCCTTCAACTCCTCAAGAGAGAAAATCACTGAGATGCGAGGGACAGGGACATCAGACCAACAGAGGTAGTGCTGCCAAAGAGGAAGGGCTTCAGTGAGTACATGGCCAAGGCCGGGAACAAGAGCCAAGCACTGCTTCACAACTGGGTTTACAGTGACGTATGCAGATAGCCATTTCTTGAAAAGTTCATTCCTAAATCTGGGGGCAGCTGAAACCCTTGATGACTCCACAAAGCAAATACCCCAACAATGGAGACACCATGTATGGGGCCATCAGCATCAGCAGAAGTGGAGTCAGAAGCCGAGGAGCACCGTGGGATCTCACCTCGCACACAGAGGACTGTGGCAGCCAACACACTAGCACCCCCCAGTCAGACACAGTCCCTAGACAGACCTGACTGCCCGCCTGGACACAAGCCCCCCACCAGCTAGCAGGACCCTCTCACCCGGGGACAACAGAGCTTCAGCAGGTTGATGGTCTTCCCACAGACGTACACATCATGGGCAATGTGTTTCAGGAACACAGGAACACAGTCCTCCACCTCTTTGGAAATGAGCACGTAGCCATGGGTCCAGTAAAACTTATCTGGACAGAACAGGATGATCTGCAGTTACAACAGCCCTGACCCCAGGCAGAGGGCACTGCCTAGCAGCCAATGGCTACTTACCTCTGAAGCTGAGGTATTCATGGTTAACCTGGATCATGAACTCCCTATAAACATCTCTGAAGACTCCACTGTACACCCAATCATGGATGAACCTGTGGGATAATGGGACATGGTGGGGAGGGCGGAGCTAGTCAGGCGTGGGTGGCGGGTGGGTGTGACAAATAGGCAGGATCATCAGCTGAGTGTGGCCAGTCCACAGAGTGAAATGGGACACTGTCAGTGATACTGCAGCTTTGGGCATGGTCTCCTGCCTAGTACGCCCATTTATCCAGAGTGCTTCCACATGGACCCCAACACTCAGTGGATCGACAATAGGAAACTCAAATCCATACTTGGTCTGAGTGTAGCCTTCCCCATGCACTGCAGGGAGACAGGCATGGCCAGTACAGGGCACCCACCGTGTGTAGGGCTCACAGCTGGTCTTCAGGAGAGACAGCAGCACAGGATAGTGCTCATTACTACAGTTATCCAGGGCCTCCTGGTAGAGGTAGGACAGGAGCTTCACACCCTGCAAACAGTGAGAAGCAGGATGGTGTACAACCATTGCAGTGTACGGCACGCTGCCTGTCTAGGCAATATGGCGAGCAGACCACACCACCACACTGGACAAGGGAAGCATGCAAGCTCACACTCAGGAAAAGGAAGGATGACTCACGGTGGGGAACACAGCCCTGGGCTCTCCACTGGTCACCAGGGATACAGTGCCAACACCACAAAGCTCAGCCAAGTACCTAGACACAGAAACTGGATCAGACCAGATGACAGGAGCACAGGGTCCTAAGGACCAGATCAATCAAGTAAGCTAAATATTATTCATTTCCCCCTAGCAACTGATCTACACAGGCTTTAAAAACTACTTGTACCCCCAAAAACCAGATCGAAGCACCCTGTTGGACCCCTGCCCAGCACTGTTTCTGTGCTATCCTCCCAAATGGCACTAACACATCCACACTGGGTGTCCCCACCTCATCCTTACCTTGACTCCCTAACTCCCTCTTATGATAGGTTCCCACCTTGTCTGACGAGGACAAGCACCAACCCCCCCATGAACACTCACCCTCTCTACCCCACTGTAGTCTGTGATCCACATGACCCCACTCACAACAGGACCCATTCATAGCATCCAGATCCCAGGCTCTACCTTCCCAACTCTTGCTGCCTAGAACATGTCCACCTCCCATATTATCTGCCAGCAGACACATTATAATGCACATAGTGACCAGCTGTGCACGGACTGTTCAGGCAGCCAAGGACTAATCTCCCGGCCCCCCTGCCAGGGAGCAGAGCCTGCTCTCCACTACCCTGAAAGCCCTACATTTGCTCCTGAGGGCCATGCTAGGCCACTGTGCTGAGGTTCACCTGAGCTGCCGGCCCAGTTTCTTGAAGAGAAAGCCAATGGTGAGGAGACTCAGGGTAGGCGGAGTGGAGAGAACACAGGCCCGGTAATACTGCAAGTACCTCCTAATGCCGCTGGTGAAGGCCTGTGGGCAAGGAGTAGAAGGAGGGCAGCTGGGACACGGAGGCAGTCATGCACTCAAGACTTGAAAGGACACCCCCAAGCTGGAAACAAGGCAGTGCTTCCAGGCCATAGCCTGGTGGCCCCATTTTCCAAGCAGTGGGCATTTATGGCTTAAGCCCGGACAGGAGGAAGAACGTTACTAGAACACAGATTAAGGAATAGGCTCTGCCGCAGATGCAGTTTTGCCCCTTCGCATCGCACTAAGACAGGGTCACCCTGGAACAAACCCTGTCCACCTACCTTGGCCTGTCTTGCCTACATGCCAGGAAAACGGGAACCACAGCCTCACCTCCAATGGACTCCCCTTTCAGACTAATTCTACAGCACCTGCAGCCTCTGGTCCTTACTTAGGAATTCCATTCACTGTTCTGCCTGGAACGACTTTCCCATGCAGCTCCTAACACACCCCTGAAAACTAATGTGGGGTAGTTCCTTTGCCTGCTGACTTTACCTGTGTGGCCCAGCTCCTCCTAGGCTGCACCCTGCCCCCACCACTCCCTGATACCTGCCCATGTTTTCTGCAAAACACTCTGCTAACCTGCACACCTGTCCTCACCTGCCCTGGCTACCAGGATTCTCTAAGATTCTACCAGCATGCAAGTTGGTTGCAAGTCTCCCAATAAACAGAAAATCCTGGGTGCCTCAAGAATCTGTCCGTTAGAACAGGAGCTCCGCCTTGCCACACACCATACAAAACACTGGGGCCTATGTGGAACAGGTGGCTTATATCTGGCTCACACACCTCTCGTAGGTCCGTGCTCTCAGTCCCTAAATGCTCACACCTGCCTCCCTCTATGCCTTTGCCCAAATACAGCTGACACAGGGTTCCAGTGGAATAATAGATGAAGTAAAACAATCTGAAGACACCCAGCTTCTTAAGAAGTTTGGATTGAGGATTCTCAACCCATAATTCTGAACTCTTAATTCTTTCGTGAAGGTAGCATGGTTCTCACAAAGGCATACCTGGAACACAAGGCCCCTGCTGCACATGGAGCCTACTACAGGTTGTAGAGAGAAATGGCTCAGGCGTGTGTAGTAGGTTCCATACTCCGCCACCTCTGAAAGGATGCTTCTGATGCTCTCAGGAGATGCACCTGACACATGGACACCCAGCTCCACTACAAAGGCTTGAGTTTGCTACAGGGCAGAAAGGAGTTACAGAAGTCAGAAAGACATCAGGACCTTATGTGATACCATTTCTTTCCACTCAGAGTTCCCCAAATCCAAGACACACAAACAGAAAGTTCTGAAAACAAAATGCAAGCCACGGAGCTGGAGCGATGACTCAGGAGTTTGGTTCCCAGCACTCACGCTGGGTAGCTCATAAGGAAATCCAGCACTCTCTTCTGGTCGCCACAGGCACCTGTACTCATATGTACATACTGACACTGAAACACACAACCCAGGCGTGGTGGTACACACATTTAATCCCAGCATTTGAGAAGTGGAACCAGTTAGATCTCTGTGAACTTCAGGCCAGCATGGTCTACACAGTAAGTTCCAGGATACAGAGAAATACGGTTTCAACAACAACAAAAACAACAACCAATTTCAACACTGTTGTAAGAAAGAATCTGGGCCAGTGATAGGGCTCAGCAGATGTACTGGCTAGTTTTTATGTCAACTTGGCACAAGCTAAAGTCACTTTTGAAGAGGGAACCTGAACTGAGAAAATGTCCCCATCTGATTGGCCTATTAGCAAGCCTGTGGCACATCTTCTTGATTGATGATTAACTAGGGGGGGAGGAATCACTGAGGGCAGTGACACCCATGGGCAGGTGGCTCAGGATGGTCTAAGAAAGTAGGCTGAGGAGGCTATGAGAACAAGCTAGTAGTGAGCAGCATCCTCCATGGCTTCTACTTCAGTTCCTACCTCCAGGTTCCTGCCCTGACTTCCCTCAGTGATAGACTATATTACCTGGAAGTGGAAGCCAAATAAACTCTTTCCTCTCCAGGTTGCTTTTGGTCATGGTGTTTCATCACAGCAATAGGAAACCTAATTAAAACAGCAGGTAAGGTGCTTGCCACCAAGCCTGACCTACCCGAGTTTGATCATCAGTACTCATACAGTGCAAGGAAAGATCCAATTCCTAAAAGCTGTCCTCTGGCCTCCACATGTACACATGGTACATGTCCCTGCCCAAGGAAATAAATGTAATTAAAAAAGAAAAATCTGGGCTGGGATACAGCTCAGTGGTAGAGCACCTGCCTAGCATGTGCCAGGCCCTCGGTTCCATCCCTAGGAACACACACACTTAAATAAGAATGACTGTATGTCAACAAATTAGATAGTCCAGATCAAATGCAAAATTTCTTAGAAACATATAAATTTACAAAACTGACTCTAGAAAATAGAAATCTACCTATAAGAAGTTGAACACTGCCGGGCGATGGTGGCGCACGCCTTTAATCCCAGCACTCGGGAGGCAGAGGCAGGCGGATCTCTGTGAGTTCGAGGCCAGCCTGGTCTACAAGAGCTAGTTCCAGGACAGGCTCCAAAGCCACAGTGAAACCCTGTCTCGAAAAACCAAAAAAAAAAAAAAAAAAAAAGAAGTTGAACACTTAGTCTGTAGACACAGCCTCCTAATAGGGCAGTAAATTCTGTGTCATATGTGTTTAGATAGGTCAAGAAAAAATAACAGGGCTGGAGAGGCTCCTGTTAAGAGTTAAGAGCACTTAATGGTTTTACAGAGCACCTGGATTAGGTTCCCAGCACCCATGGCGGCTCACAACCACCCCTCCCCCCATAACTCCAGTTCCAGGGCAATCCTTTTTTTTTTGTTGTTTTTTTTGTTTTTTGGGGGTTTGTTTTGTTTTTGTTTTGTTTGTTTGTTGAGACAGGATTTCTCTGCGTAGCTTTGGAGCCTGTCCTGGAACTAACTCTGTAGACCAGGCTGGCCTCGAACTCACAGAGATACACCTGTCTCTGCCTCCTGAGTGCTGGGATTAAAGGAGTACTCTCCTGCCCTCCACGGCTACTGGGTACACATGCGCATAATACACGCAGGCAGGAAATTCATACACATAAAAAAAAATAAACAAATCTTTTTTGTGTGTTTGTTTTTTGGTTTTGGTGTGTTTTTTTGTTTTTCAAGACAGGGTTTCTCTGTGGTACCCTGACTGTCCTGGAACTCACTCTGTAGACTAGGCTAACTGCAAACTCACAGAGATTTGCCTGCCACTGTCTCCCGAGTGCTTAGATTAAAGGCATGTACCACCACACCTAACTGTAAGTCAATACTCTTGAAAATTCAAACTGAATGCCTGTTTTGTTTTACAGTATTGGGGATTGAACGCAGGGCCTCTCACATGTCAGGCAAGAATTCCAACACTGATTTATATAGCAGCCTAACCTGTGGCTATCTTTAGTCAGCCCATAGAGTTGGCCTTCCCTGACACTCACGGCATTGGATCTCACCCTACCCTGAGCATGCTGAGCATGCCCGAGAGAGCACAAGCTATTTAATACAAGGTTGGCCCTGGTAGCCATGAGCCCGTCTCACCTGACACAGAGAAAATGTAGCAGAAACAACTCCCAGCAGAACATTCAGTGAGTCTTTCACCAGCTCGCTTTCCTCCACCAGCACAGGCTTGGGGGCCTGTAGTAGACCCCCACTGAGGGCCTGTAGCTCCCCATGGCAGAGCCTGCAGAATCTGTCAAAGGCATCCCTTCCTGCCTCGGTGAGGTAGGGCTCCTCTCGGTAACCAGGAGGGCTGTGAGGAAGACAGAAGAGAAGGGGATGAACAGATGGGGCAGCATGGACCTTAATGTCAGGTGTGCCTTTTTCCCAGGCTACAATAGTTTCTCAGGCAAATGCCCTGAGGTCCCAAAAGCAGCATCCAGTCATGGATGGACAAGGACAGGCCATGACTCACATAGAGTATTGTTCTTGTGTGTTGTGTATGTATGGCATATGTATGTTTTATTATTTTATTTTGTGTGTGTATGGGTGTTTTGCTTTGCACTTACATCTGTTTACCACATGCATGTCTGGTACATACTGAGGCCAGAGAAGGGTGACAGATCCCCCAGAGACAGAATTACAGATGTTTGTAAACCACCATGTGGGTGCTAGCAATTTAACCCAGGTCCTCTACAAGAACAAATTCTCTTCACTGCTGAACCAACTCTCCAGTCCCATTATTTTATGTTATGGGTGTTTTTTCTGTTTTTTTTTTAAATATTTATTTATTATGTATACAATATTCTGTCTGTGTGTATGCCTGCAGGCCAGAAGAGGGCACCAGACCCCTTTACAGATGGTTGTGAGCCACCATGTGGTTGCTGGGAATTGAACTCAGGACCTTTGGAAGAGCAGGCAATGCTCTTAACCTCTGAGCCATCTCTCCAGCCCCATGGGTGTTTTTTTGGGGGGGGAGAGGGGGGGTTTCGAGACAGGGTTTCTCTGTGGTTTTGGAACCTGTCCTAGAACTAGCTCTTGTAGACCAGGCTGGTCTGGAACTCACAGAGATCCGCCTGCCTCTGCCTCCCGAGTGCTGGGATTAAAGGCATGTGCCACCACCGCCCGGCTGTTATGGGTGTTTTGCTTCCATGTATGTCTGTATACTACATGCATGCAGTGCCTGCAAAGGCCAGAGGAGGGTATCAGAGCCCCTGGAATTAAAGTTATATACAGCCAGGCATGGTGACCCATGCCTTGAATCCCAGCACTCAGGAGGCAGAGGCAGGAGGAGCATGAGTTCCAGAACAACTATAGCTACACAGAGAAACCTTGTCTCAAAAAAGTAAGGAAAATTTAAATTAAAGAAAAGTTACAAGAGCTGGAGAGATGGGTCGGTGGTTAAGAGCACTGATTACTCTTCCAGAGGACCCGAGTTCAATTCCCAGCACCCACATGGCAGCTTACAACTGTCTATAACTCCAGTTCCAGAGGATCTGAGACCTTCACACCAATGTACATAAAGTTAAAGAAATCATAAAATAGGGGCTGGAGACATGGCTCAGTGGTTAAGAGCATTGCCTGCTCTTCCAAAGGTCCTGAGTTCAATTCCCAGCAACCACATGGTGGCTCACAACCATCTGTAATGAGGTCTGGTGCCCTCTTCTGGCCTGGAGACATACACGCAGACAGAATATTGTATGCATAATAAATAAATTTAAAAAAAAGAAATCATAAAATAAAATAAAATTAAAAAAAAAAAGAAAAGTTACAGACAGTTGTGAGTTGGTCCTAAGAATTGAACCCAGGTCTTCTGGAAGAACAGCTGCTGTCCTTAACTGCTGTGCCATGTTTCCAGCACCCACCTCCAAATTTTTAAAACATAAATAAAAATTAAGTGCAGCAATGTCAGGCATGGTGGTTCATGCCTGTAATTCCAGGATTTCGAAGACTGAGACAGGAAGATCAGGAGTTCAGAGCCAATTTCAGCTACATTGTAAGTTAAAGTCCAATCTTGAGTATGTAAGACCCTACATTTTAAAAAGCTCTAATGTAAAAACTTAATTAAAAACAAAATGTTTGCTGTAAGATTATGTCCTTTAGGAATTTCAGAAACTACATCCATAAATTCTTACCAAGGTGACTGCAAAAGGTAGAAAGATTTGAGTTCATATCTAGCTTAGGTTACATAAAAGGTCCTATCAAAGAGAAAGAAAAAGAAAGAGAGAGAGAGAGAGAATACACATGCAAACAATCAACACAAGCTAACTAGCTGGGCTCTGCAACTTGCATATATTGCATGCCCTCAGCATACTGCAACATTGTAGATCCTCTCAGCATTCTACAACACTGTAGACCCTCAGCATTCTACAACACTGTAGACCCTCAGCATCCTACAACACTGTAGATCCTCAGCATCCTGCATACCCTTTTAGTACACTACATGTCTTCCACAGTGCACATTCTGCATGGGGTTTCTAGTTTGTTTTTCAAAAGATGTATTTTACTTTCAGTGTGTGTGTGTGTGTGTGTGTGTGTGTGTGTGTGTGTGTGTGTGAGAGAGAGAGAGAGAGAGAGAGAGAGAAAGTGTATGTTCAAGGCCACCCTGAGCTATATAGTGAAACTTTGTCCCACACGAACAAACTGCCCATGGGAAACCTTTTTAAATAATGTTTTGGACCCAACAAAAGCTTTGTTTCATTATTTCCCACCTCCACAAGTTTCTTGATTTCTTTTAAGATTTCTTTTTATTTTATATGCATGAGTGCTTGGTTGAATATATCTGTGTACCACATGCATGCCTCATAACCTCATAGGCTGGCAGAGGACATCAGATCCCCTTCTGACAATTGCTACAGAGAGTTGTTAGCTGTTACGTGGGTGCTGGGAATCAAATCTGGGTCCATTGAAAGAACAGCCTATACTCTTAGCCATTGAGCCATTTCTCCAGCCCCAATTCTTGATTTCTATATGAATAATCTCTGGGCATGCCACATAACCCTGGAGCCTATAAATGATCAAATCAGTATTTCCATTCTCTCGCCTAGACACCGGTAGTGCTCTTCATCTTACGACCCTACGTTAAAGTTCCTTAGATGACAGGGACAGAGATGCAAATGTATAGTACCAGTTACTTGAGTAGCTGAGGTAAGAAGAATCCTTGAGCTCAGGCATCTAAGGCTAGCCTGAGCAATACAGCAAGAGCTTGTCTCAAACATCATGACTTTGGGGATATAGTCCTCCACGCAGGAAACACTGCCTGAGTGCTACTTTGTGCTAGAGCCCTCTGGCTAATCCTGTGCTTCCAAGACCACCAAAAGGATGAAGTGTGTTCACAATGGATAACAAATGAGCTAAGTGACCATGTCTCCCAAACAACAACCCAGCTAACATGAAATAACAATAATAAATATTTACAAATAAAGCAATGGGCTATAAGGTCAATTTCTCAACATGTAAGGGGTTGGCAGAATTGCTTTGTACAAACAAGACAGGACCAAAACCCTAGTGTGAAGTTACAGGACAGAGAAGCCACTAAAAGGCAAGACACTATCAACACCATGGCAGGGAGCTTGAGGGATTCAAAAGCGCAATTATGATCACACCTAGGAAAGTTCCTCACATAGGAGCAGTGCCCTACACACAGAGAGGCTTTATCACTCCCCCATGTGTTCCTCTCAGAGACCCCAAGGGAACCGGAGGCCAAATCAGATGACACACGGCTCCTCCAGCCCTGACTCTTTACTTCAGGGCTCCCCTGCTGTTTTCCCAGACTGGGTAGCAAAAGGGGAGTGAACAGGGCTCCATGAACAAATGTCTGTGAAGTACATGTCCTCAATTCTCATTCTGAGTGTTTCCAAAGGGTACCAACTCAGACCAGGAAAGGAACCGAAGGAAAAAACCCATGGCCCCAGATATATACAGAGTATGTGGCTCCAGATTAGCCAATGCTAGCCACCCAAGGAAAGGCTGTTATGGCTGATGCTTCTACCAGCAGAAGGCACCACACCCATGGCTTCTACTCATGTAGTAAGTTTCTTGGAGCATCTCCCAGGCACTGACCACACAGCCTGCTAGCTGCCCTAGGACATCTGTCTAGCAGTCCTGCTGGAAAGACAGACTGTAGTTTGGTCTGCAGAGTTAACTCCACTGAAGAGGAGGGGTGGGGAGCTCTTTCCCCTCCTCTTCCCCTACCTCATAGGATTCAGACATCATTGTACACTAGCTTACCTGAAATGTCAGCCTCTTCATCTCAACACTCATGTTTCTACAGACAACTGCCTGGGGTTTCAAAGTAAGCTGTTGACATGGGACAAAGGCACAGTGCATTTAAAGGCAAAGGAAGGTTCACATACCATCCAATGCGCTCCCAGCACCTCCGCTTGCTGGCTTCATATGTGAGCACAGCTTCCCACAGGTCCAAATCCGGGGTCATGCTTGGTTCAGACTGGGAGTCAGGAGTTAAATTGGAAGCTGACTGGAACCCTTCATCTTCCCACTGATCCACCATCTGTGGGACCTGGAGACCACAAGGAAAAGCAGTTCATTATCTATCGCTTTGTCTATGCACTCATCTAAATGTGACATAACATTCCGGAACTTTATCCTCATCTATTTGTTCCCTAGAGGAACACACCTAGCAAAATATTTTATATTTTCTCAAGTTTCTATGTACTACACAATGCAGCCCTCCACAATGGCATCACAGAAAGAATTAAAATAATCCACTATTGACTGGAGAGTCGGCTCAGAGGTTAAGAGCACTGACTGCTCTTCCAGAGGTCCTGAGTTCAATTCCCAGCAACCACATGGTGGCTCATAACCACCTATAATGAAATCTGATGACCTCTTCTGGCACGCAGGCATAATTGCAGACAGAGTACTGTATACATAACAAATAAATATTTAAAAAAATAATCCACTATCAATTTCTGTCAGGTGTGGTGGTGCATGCCTGTAATTCCTGCACTCCCGGGGCTGTAACCAGACTGGCTACATGGAAAGATTTACCTAAAACCAAAGGTGTTAATTTTTAATTTCACATAAATACATGGCCTCATTTTAGGGAAAAGAACACAAAGTCATATGGAAGTCCCAGTACTCTGTACGATGAGGCAAGAAGATCTCCATGATCTTTGAGCTTTGAGGCCAGCCTAAGCTACCCTGAAACCCTGTCTTTACCCACCCCACCCCTTCAGCACTTAGGAGGAAAACAAAACTATACTAAACCTGGAAAAATGTATGTACACTGAGATTTTGCTGTAGCATCATTTAAACTTGGAAACAGCCTACGTATTTCATAATAAAAAAATAACTGAGTAGGAATAGATTGTCCTTTAACAGAATTTACAAAGAATAAAATACAAGAGACAATGACAATTTACTCAATGACTGGCAGGAAAAATCCATGTTACAAGTGGGAAAGTATACCAAAAAGCAAGCACACCAGGCAATTTTGAAATGTGGTTTCTGCAACTGAAGAACAGGATTTATTTCATTTTAATTAATTTAATTTAAGTTACCAGTAGTAGAGAAGAAAAGTGGCTTAAGCTGAGGTAAAAGGTGAACAGTCGTGTTATTTTTCTGATGCAGGTATCCCTGTGCAAGACCAGGTCAGTAAGTCCTCTCCAACACCTCTCCCTCATAACAATCCAGTCACCTGATGCTCTGGACACGAGCTTTCCAGCGTTACCATGGCACTGCCCAAACCTCTAGGGATACTGAGGGGAAAGAAACACTACCTTAATGGCCAGTCCAGAAAAGTCCGCGCTGTCCGGCACAGGGGGCAGATCCAATCTCACATCCATGTCATATGTGCGGCTGTGCACGAGGGCACCAAAGAGTGAGACCCGGGTGTCTCTCTCAAACCTGTCACCACAAGAGTCACCAAGAGAGAAGCGCCCAACGGTGGGCAGGCCAGTACCTGGGGTAGCCTCCATCACCTGAAGGGCTTCCTGGAACATGTTATGACACAAATACTCCTCTCCAGAGATAAGTGACCTGACGTCCATTTCAAACACACTCAGGTCATAGCAATCGTAGCCGCCGTAGGGTACGTTTCTGCCTGCGTGCTTGTTGTTAAAGAAGAAATCCCGTTTTCTCCGCAGCACTTGAGGGGGGCCGCTCCCCGCCAACTGGACCAAGAGGTCCAGCACTGACTCCACCTCCACCAGAGGACAGCCAGGGGTTGCTTCCAACTTCTCCACAAGCTCCTCCAAACGGTCAGCCTCTGGCCCCAAGCCACCCACCCTCAAATCGAAGGACAGCATGAGGACCTTGTTCTTCACGGGGCGCTTCGCCGAGTCAGGCGGCCGCTGATGAGTCTCCTCTTGAAACAGACTGGCGAAAAGAGCATTGTAGGCTACCCTCTTCAGGCTCCGCTTTGCCCTCTTCCTGTCCACGGGGCGCTGACCCGGGTGAGCCTGGGCGGCCGGTAATAGAGCCTCGCAGAGGTCATCGAACAACTGGGTGATACTGGCCATAGCTCTTCAGCCCCGGACCCCCGAGTGCTAAACTTTGCACGTGGGAGGCACTTCACGCTCCCAAAAACCAGAGCGGCCGCCGGTGGGCCGGGGCCGAAGGGCCGACCGCTCGTCGCTTCACACCTGCAAACCAGGCATCCGCGCCTCAGGTTTTGCAAAGCGAGAGGCCACACGCCGCGTCCTCCCAGCCTTCAGCCGCCACCCGGCGCTCGTCGTCGGGTCTCACGTACCCTGACGAGTTTGCCGAGCGAATGCGCGCGTCCCATAGCCCGCCTGTAAGCCGAAGTCGGCTGAACTGGGGCTCCCGCCGCTATGGCGCCATATCCACGCGACCACAGACACCACCAAGAGACGCGCCGGAACTACGTCACCAATACGGTCTCGGGAGGGGCGGGGCTGCAGCCGCGGCTTTCGATACTAGAAGCTAACGTCAGATACTTGGTGAAACAGACTCAGTAAGGGAAGCAGTGTTGTGCACTCTTTAGAAACGATATTTATTATAATAGAGGTAGGATGCCCGGGCCGCTGATGGGACGTAGGTCTCCGGCCAGGGTTCGCTAGGACCTGAATGTGCTCTTCTCCGGATAGGAATCGTCCGCCTTGACCGATTTCAAGCGATTGGAGAGCACGGACCTGGTGGAGGAGCTGAAAAAGCATAATCGGCTCGCGCGGTGAGGCTGGCTCCATGTAGCTCTAAAATAGGGCCGCGCCTCCCCACGTGCCTCACCAGCCACCTGCAGCAACTTCCACCGAGGTTCCAGCTGAACTTTTAGTAACCTAAGGGCCCGGATCTCCTCTGGAGAGGCCATCAAGAAAGGGCCCAGACTGGGAGGTGCTTCTCCATGCAGTACCTGTGCCAGGGTCCTTGCAAGCTGGAGTATGGATTCCTGGCCCAGGGATGGTGGGGAGCGGAGGAGGGGAGCAATGAGACAATGGTTTCTCTTCACCTTCCACCCATACAGCTTTTATCCACCTTGCCCAGTTTACCTCTTCCACTACTGCTAGAATTCGGCTCCCTGCTGGGCCCCGAAGCACTGAAGCCAAGAGAGCAGCTTGGGCGTTCTGCAGGCCATGGGCAGGCCCCAGTGCCATCAACACCACGTCAGGCTGGAAGCCATAAGCCAGGGGCAGAACCAGACCCAAGATGCAGCTCAGAAACCCCCCAGTCGTCTGTAGGAATAAGAGGCAGAGCCTCAGGCTCTGATCTAGACACTGCTACTGGCTCCTGTAACCACCCTCCAAATCTCAGGGACCCTGGATTGTGAGCAGGCACCCCCAGAAAGACCAGGAGACAGTGAGAACCTCTCCAACCCGCAACACGACCCCTCACCTGTGGCAGTGGTGTGGAGATGTGGAACACGGACTCCACGGCTGCCTCCTTGCCCCGGATATTCAGCCATAGAACTCTCCTTTCCAGGAGCGAGCATGAATATGTATACATGTGCATGAGACCCTTTCGTGAACTTAATAACTGGGAGAGATGAGAGCCTGGGGCTCCAGCAGGGAGGAGGACATGCGTGACTGCCAACCTGGTATGGCTCTGCTTTCTGGGCACCCACTCTCAAACTGCACCTATGGAAGCCCCCCCAATTCTGTACTGCAGTGTCCCCAGTTAAATGCCTGCTACCTGTTCACACACATGCACAATCGGGGAGATATGTAAGCTGAGAACCATACCCATCATCTGCAAGGTCCAGGGGTCGATCCAGCTGTCCCAGGGCCACACAGAGCAGCCTAAGAAGTTGACCCAGGATAGGCTGTGCTCACACTGTCCAGTATCCAGCGCCTTTCCCACACCATTAGTGGGGCATTCCCAGGTCCTTAGAGTCCCAAGTCAACCAAGCAAACTTTACCTCTGAGCTCCATGGGACAGGCATCGCTGAACGATCACTTCTACAGTTGCTGCTGTGGCAAGGGCGGCTGTGGCAGCTATGCCATTTCTTACCTATGGGATAAATAACAGGGAATCTAGAGGCTGAGCTGACACACGCACTCGCTAAGGAGCACTTTCAGGAGGCAAGGTCAACTCCCAAACCCGGTTAGACAAACCCTTTTGTGCTTTGTTTTGGTCCTGTCCAAATGGCTTCTACTGACTGACTTTCCCTACACTACAATATCAAATCACCCCACTTTCTATACGCAAGATGCTTAAAACTACACTTCAAATTGTCTACTTCCTCTTTGCCAAAGAGCATTGCCTGGGCTCTGCACAAGGTAACATGTCAGCCCACTGTACATGCCACCACGCTATCTCCAGCAGCTCCCCTGGCAACCTACCTGCCCATCCAGGATCCCACCTAAGAGACACAGAATCTTCCCCAGGGCGACAAGACTCTCATCCTGGAACAGAGACTTGTGTAGCCTACGATGGGCAAGCCAGAGGGACACATGGAAACCAAATCTGTATCAGCCGCACCGGTGCAGGCATAGCCATCCCCAGCCTCAGACTGCTCGCCTCACCTGGCCCAGGCTTCGGTTTCCTCCCTCAAGGCTGAGTCTTCCTGAAGGAGCACTCCAGGAGGTAAGGCCAGAGCAGCACCTGGCACAGCCAAGGCGACCTCTGTGCAGATCGGGGGTGTAGGACGGAGACAGAGTTCACCCTGGAGAGGGCTCAGGGCAGCTTCTGCTGCTTCATACGCGGGGCTCTCAGCAAGTAGAGGCAGAGACCTCCCTTCAGGAAAGCAGGTGCTGGGACCCAGAACTGGTGCCACATCTAAACGGTTCAGAGTCACAGTCACTGCCTAAGCCTAAGGCGGAGGAGCTGCCAGCCCAGGTCCAGGTCATACTGACTTTGCTGGAGGCTTGTCCAGTGAGGGGCCTGGGCTGTCTGGACACTCTGGATGGACTCCAGGGCGCTATGCGGGAGAAATAGAATTGTAAATCTGACTCATGCTTCAGCCCCCCCCCCCACCTACTCCAGTCTTCAAACCTCTGACATGGCACCATGAGTCCAAGAAGGGGGGGTGTGGGGTCACCAAGCAGTGTCTGCACCATCATGCACACTGACTGTGCTAGGGATTCCAGGTAGTATCCACCCTAGGGAGAGTGTTGAAACAGGACAGCGCAGGGGTGTCACTAGTGTGAGCGGCTGTACCAGGCAGAGCACCTCACCTTGACTGATCCTCCCCTGGCCTTCGAGCCTCTCCACTGCCCCACACTTACCTCTAGCACAGCACAAATCCGGCCACCAGCCAGCACCTGCAGCAGCTGTGTGAGGTGGGCAAAGCACTCGGGTGTGGCTCGCATCCGCCCCTGCAGCCCAGTGAATCTTGTATGACAGGCGCCTGGACCCAGGACCCTAGCTTACTCCCCAGCCAGGCCGTGCTCTCACCTCAGGGTCCCCGATGGCAGAGTCAAATCCTGCTGAGACCAGCACCAGCTCAGGGTCAAACTACAGGCAGAGTCCAGGGGAAAGGAGCAAAAGAGAGCCACAGCCAGGTGAAGGGGAGGCCCCAGTGCTGCCCATTCACATAACATCCAACTTTCAGAGGCCCCTTCCCCACTCCCCAAGGTTCATTCGCACTCTGGTTGAATGGCTTACAAAGCTCCTCCTGCCTTCATAGTGGAACTTTAGGTTAGCCTAGGGTTTCCTGCCCTGGGGGACACCCATCACCCAATCACCTCAAAGGCCAACGGGAGCAGCACATGCAGGAAGGCAGCCAAATAGTCAGCATTCCCCATCCCAACCTGCAGCAAGATCGAAGTGGACATCAGAAGACCAGCCCTATGAACGAGGGCTCCAGGGTCTTCACCCCTGGCAACAGAACTCTGGGGAGAATGTTGCAGGATGCCCTGGATGACATTTGCAAACCCAGAGCTGGGGAGCAGGAGAGGTAGGAGAGATGGAGTGGGGAGGGGAACTTGGTACCTGATTCCAGGGCAAATTGACGGTGAAGCCTTGGCCCTGCCCTTGCCCGACCACATGTGCATCGGACTCTTGAAGGAATGGCCAGAAGCGCCCATGCTCATAGCGGTGCCAGGAGAAGTAAAGGACACTATAGACAATTGGCCAGGTCAGAAGTGGGGTCCTTCAGGAGCTCCACAGCTTCCCAAATAAACCTGAATTTTATCCCCAAGTGGTGCACTGTAGAGAAGGTCCGTGTTCACACCCCAGCTTACCTGGGGTCATCATCAAAGATGTACTGGATGCCTTGGCCATGGTGGATATCCCAGTCGACAATAAGAATCCTAAATTCAGACCATACTGGAGATCACCTTGCCACCGTCACTCCAGAAGCCCATCCAGGTGTGGAGGGAGCAAGGTAGGAATCTTGGCCACCAGCTCCACCTCTGCCAGTTTAGCTTGTGTCCCCAACACGTACATACCTCTGCAGCCCATATTTCTGCTTGGCATGTTTGGCTGCTATAGCCACATTGTTGAACACACAGAATCCATTGGCAGCCTCCTTCTGACTGTGGTGCCCTGGAGGCCTGAGGTGTAAAATTGGGGTACAGGGCATGTCGGGGTCCTTCTGTCCCCTCACAGGGTCACACACAGTCAATTTGAGGAGGAGGGCAGTTCTCACCTCACCAGAGCAAGCCCATTGTGCACAGCTCCTGTTAGCACAGCATCCACCAGCTGCAGTGCAGCCCCCACAGCTAGCCTGGCACAGTGAAAAGTGTTCTGTGGGGCCAGAGTGCAATTTAGCCTGCAGCCTGACCTACTTGTCCCAAATTGCAGGCCTCCCACTACCGAACAAGACAGGGCTAGGACAATGGCAAGCAAAACATGCCAGGGTATGGTCACAAGCATGAACAAGAAGACATGGGCAGATGGGCAAACATGGGTATGGATACACATAGGCATGTGGACATCAATCTGGGTGTGTACGCTGGCTCGCACCGGGTGGAAGTAGACAGCATCAAACTGCTTAGACAGTGCCTGGAGCTCCTCCTTGTCCAGGGTCTGGGTCCTCCGCACCAGGGCTACATATTCTGGGCTTCGGGTCAACAGGCGGGCCAACAGTGGGACACAAAGAAAAAGAAGCTGGGATTCCTGGTGGCAACACCCACCCAGCACTCCCCTTATGCCTCTGAGCCCACACTACGGTGAAACTGAGGGGACACTGATAGGATCCCCAGCCCAGTCATTGTCTGACCTGTGCACCAAGCCCAACTCTTCCTCTGATGCCTCACAAGCTGTCAAACATAGGCACCTTTGTTGCAGGCCACGCTGCCGCAGGCCGTCCAGGGCTGCAGTCAGGCGCTCTGGACACTCAATTTCGCACTCGGGGCTAGAGCAAACAAGGATCTCAGTGTTCAGAGTTTCCTCCCGGCCCCCTACTTCTGTCAAGACACACTTACTCATCCCAGAGCAGCCGGGTGGCTGTCATATCCTCGTGGTACACAAGTGCTGTACCCATGGCCACACCGTGGTCACTTTGATCCACTCTAGCGTATAAACGCCCTCTGCTGGCAGGTGACTGCACTGTCTGGTCCCACCTAACGGCGCGCACGTAAACAGCCCCTCACTTGGGAGAGAGCCGGGTAGCAGACCTGGACCTGAGTAAGAACGCACCACCCAAGGGTCAGACCCGGTTGGTAGTCAGAAGCAAACCGCTGGAAACTCAGATAAGCCGGTCCACAGCGTGGCTCCCGACATCTAACTTCCGGCTTCCTCCTTCGCAGACTTGGTCCCGCCCTCAGGCGCGATTAGGGTGGAGTAGACCAACTGAACTCCCGTCGGATTCCGCCAGCATCTCTGGATGTGATCGCAGCCTAGTGCTTCAGCTGCGGTACCACCGCCAAAAACGTGTGGCACAGAGCCTGCGCTCAGTGTCCCTCTTGAATGGTTGGGAAGACGGGCTGCTTGTCCTCAGGCAATCAGTGCTACCGCTGCTGTTTCCTTCTTTCTCCAACATTCTCGAGCCTAAATTCTCCCTGCTTAGGCCACAGGGTCAGACATGCCAACTGTCCGTCACATCCTCGAGGTGAAAGGGTGGAAGAAAGGGAGGTGAGCAAGGTGTGTACGCATGCCCGTACAGGAGCTGGCCTGAGCTGTGTCATGGCACAGAGTTTCAAAATGGGACTGACAAAAGACCACAGGTGAGAAAGACGCCACCAGAATGGAAGGATTGTGTCGGAGGCCAGGTCGGGAAGGAACGCTGCAGCACAGTGTAGGGCCAGGAAGGGCAGAGGGTTCTGAGCAAGGAAGGGGATGAAGGGAGGGGACCTTGGACCTTGTAATGAAGGTAAAAGGGCCAGCCAAAGGAACCTGGAATCAGAACCAATGAAAGAAACCCACCCTGGCCAAGAAATCATAGCCAGTGAAAGAAATACTTTAGCCTCGAACCCAGAACTAAAGAAATACACCCTGACTCTGAAACCAGTGCCAAAGAAACAAACTTTGGCCCTAGAATCAGTCAGTGAAAGAAATAAGCGTTCATCCTGAAAATAGTACAAAGCCACAGAGAAACCCTGTCTGGGGGGGGAGGAGCAGCGAAAGAAACACAGTTTGGCCTTGAAATTAGCCATCTACCTCTGCGCCAGACCAACTAAACTAACCAATCCCTGAGCAGGGAAAACTAATCAGTCCCTCTTCTCCCCAGGAAAACTCCCCACCTAAGAAGCCCTACATAACCTGTGCACCTGTTCAGTTTGCTGCTGCCCTTTTCTACCCTGGCAGAGGCAGCCACTCTCCTGAATTCTTCCCTCATGATAAATCTCACTGAGTGAGCTTTGGCTGAGACCTTCTTTTGCTGGAGTTGTAACACTTTCACTAGGGAAACCTTCCCCTAGCAGTGCCAAGTTGTTACACCTTCACTGGAGAAGTGGAGCAAAGCTGTAACACTTTTGTTGGGAAACCTTCCCCTAGAGTTGTTACATTCTGGGGCACCAGAACCAAACTGTAACAACTTGGCTGAGGAAGTCCTCTCCTGCAGGGGCAGCAATGTTATATTGGGTAAACCTTTCCCTAGAGCTGGGCTGTAAACTACTACACTTAACTGTGACCTTCGTTATTCCCTGGCTCCTGACTACTAGAATGATCTTCCACCTGAACTGTAATACCCAGTATTCCCTGGCCTCCGACTGCCAGAATACTTTTCCATCTGAGCTGTAACACTCAGTATTCCCTGGTTCCCAAGTGCTAGGATCCCTTTCAAGTCCCAGTGCTTACAGAAGCATTGCAGATCAAAGGAGACATGAGTTCAAGTCTGAACTAATGCTGTCCATGTATGTTTTTTGTTTGTTTGGTTTGGTTTTTTTGTAACCCAGGCCTGTGACCAGTTCTGAAATCCTTACCTCAGCCTCTTGAGTGCTGGGATTACAAATGTATCCCATTGTGCTTCCCGAAGCAAGATGTCCCACGATGGAGAGAGGTGTCAGTAGAGGTAAGTTGTGGGTCAGAGAGTAGAAGCCACCTCTCTGGATCTCGGAGAGCCTCTAAGACACCCCCACCCTCAGGACAATGAAGGGGAAGAGGGACAAAGCTGCCACTGATATCTATGATAGGGATGCACACAACTGTCATGTGCAGGGGGAACCAAGGAGCCCGGAGAGCTAGGAGGTGCCCATTGCACACTTGGGTGTTGGAGTGCAGGCCCAGGTTCTGGTTAGTCCCAAGGCCTCTCCAGCTTCTAGAGACCAAAGGCATCAGGCAGAGCCACTCCTCGTTGACTCGCCCTAGATTATGTGCCTGGTGGGGCTGAGAGGTGTGAGCCACACCTCCATAATAGAGTAAAATATTCAAAGTCCTGGTCCATGGTTATCTCAAGGGGTTCGGGCAGAGGAAGGCATGGTCATGGCATCTCCTCTGACCAGATTAGCCTGGGCAAAGTGTATTGCCCAGAACTCCTTTGCAGATGAGGGGAATGCAAGGCTCCACCCTTACGCCTTGCTCTAATGTGCCTGTCCTTGGGACATGCGGAAGAACATGGACCATCTAACTAGGCAGCAAGGATCTAATGGCCTGCAGATGACAGACACTGCAGATTCATGGAAGCTGACAGGGCGATGCCAGTAGAGGTAAGTTGTGGGTCAGAGAGTAGAAGCCACCTCTCTGGATCTCAGAGAGCCGCTAAGACCAGAGATAACATTCCTCTCTAGAAGCTTTGACCATAAGAAGACAAATGCAGCTGGGTGGTGGTGGCACAGGCCTATAATCCCAGCACTTGCAGTTGGGAGGCAGAGATGAGAGATCTCTGTGAGTTCAAGGCCAGCCTGCTCTATAGAGCTAGGACTATTACACAGAGAAACTCTGTCTTGAAAAAAAAAAAGTTGCACTCTCAGAAAGTCAGAAAGAAAGGACCATCTGTCTTGGTTCTAGCATCATCGTCCCCATTATCTGCCCTTACACCTTGCATCAGGCTCCATAGAACCCTGCTCAGACTCTAAGCCTTAATTAGAGTATAGTTACTGACGAAGGGAGGGGACCAATCCCTGATGTGATGGCTTGAGGACCACTGGCAAGGACTAGGTGGCACCGGCGCGGCACTTTGACCTGGGAAGAGTCAGGGGCATGGCACCTCTACTAGGTGGACTGCAGGGAGCTCAGGCTGCCTCTTTTTGTGCACAGACTAGCAGCTCAGAGAAATGGTCGGAGCTCAGACATTGGGCCACACAGTCAGAATGGGGGATCTACAAAACGGTTTATTTGCATCCAGCCACTTAAGCACACAAAATGACTGGTTTACATTCCAGGCTAAGGGCGTAAGAGAATCCACCCCCATCACAGGAGAGATGATATCCCTGAGTCAGTGTCCCCAAAACCTCTATCTCCTTCCTTCTCGGGAGTTGGCCTAAACACTGTCCAGAGCAAGCAGAGCTCAGGGAATAGCACTACACTCTGCCCGACCTGAGACCTTGTCACTGGTGAAGGGAGCACAACTCCAGAATTCAAAGGCTAGTTCGTGTTGGGCGGGTGTCTTGGACAAAAAGCTTAGATGTTCTTCCAGGGTCATCCGGGACACCCAGAAGCAGAGGAGCAGGTTTGGAGATGGAGGGTCCAGGATTCGAGGGTCTACTCAGTCTCTCCAAGTGGATGACTTGGGATACAAGCCCCAGGAACTGTCAGAGTGCTAACCAGGATTCCTCTTCCAGGGAAGGGGAGCCAAGGTGCCTGTGAGGCTCCCAGCTGGGCTCCTCAGGATACCCCAAACTATCCAAAGGTCTTCATAGAGCTGTCTCCTTTGGGACTCTGGCTCCTAGCTGCCTGGGAGGCTTGAAGCTGAGCACTTCCTTGTAAGTAACACCTGTAGAAAGTGAGGAGAAGCAGATGATAAAGAAGTTAGTCCAAGCCGGGCGATGGTGGCGCACGCCTTTAATCCTAGCACTCGGGAAGCAGACGCAGGCAGATCTCTGTGAGTTTGAAGCCAGCCTGGTCTACAAGAACTAGCTCCAGGACAAGCTCCAAAGCTCCAGAGAAACCCTGTCTCAAAAAAAAAAAAAAAAAAAAAGCCAAGAAGTTAGTCCAATGTTCACCTAAGGGGAGAAGCTAGCACCCCATGAGCTTTTAATCCTAGATGGACCAATCCCCTTAAAAACATTTAGTGTGAGTTGGGCAGGGGTGGCAGCGCATGCCTTTAATCCCAGAATTCAGGAGGCAGAAGCAGGTGGATCTCTGTGAGGTTAGCCTGGTTTGCAGAGAGAGATCCAGAACAATCTGGGGCTGTTACAGAGAAACTCTGGGGGCTGGGAAAGGGGTAAGGTGCAGAGGGAAGGGACAGGGAGGGGAGGGGTAGGGCGGGGCATCACTTTGTGTGAAAACTTCTATAAAGATACATTTCCAGGAAAACAGGTGATGAGAGCTATGTTCAGAAAAAAAAAAAAAGGAAGCTTGTGTTCCTGTCCACAGACTTAGTTGTATGTCCTCTGTGGTCTATGGTAAAAGCAAAAGCGCCCAGGCACAGTGTGTAGGTGGAGACCACAGATCAGATCTGTGGCCTGTGGTTAAGGGAGTTGTTTTGATTAGCAGCAGAAGGGTTTCATCACAAAGAACCAAATTCACAAACACATGACAACACAGAAGGGAAGAATGCCTGTTAGGATTGCAGAAGAACCTTGCAGGGCATGATTTGAGAACCTTAACCCATCCAGTCTTTCCCACACCAAGGTGCAAGAACTTGGCCTGAAGCCAGGTGATGGTGGCACACACCTTTAATCCCAGCACTTGGGAGGCAGAGGCAGGTGGATCTCTGTGAGTTTGAGGCTAGCCTGGAGGTCTATGGAGTGAGTTTCAGGACAGCCACAGCCACGGCTGTTATAAAAAGAAACCCTGTCTCAAAAAAAAAAAAAAAAAAAAAAAAAAGAACATGGCTGGGAACTAAAGCAGGCAGGACAAGGGCTAGCATGTCCCGGTAGACGTGTCTTCAGACTGCCAATTTGGAGCAGACATCAGAGGCTAGTTCCAGCTCATGGACCAGTGGGCAGCCTGAGGCCAGTTCTCAAAGATATAGTAAGGGTCCTCAATGTAAAAGGACAGCCTGTTCAGAACCTGCAGTTTCAACACACGGCCATGGATGGATCTGGGGCTGAAGATGTGAGGAAAAGCCTAGGCCCTGGGACTGCATGGGAATAGACTGTCCCCCATGGCCAGAATATAAGAAAGATGTAGTTGTTTCAGGAGGGGTCCTGACAAGGGGTAAGGATAAATTCATAAGGGGTAAGAAGGAAGTCATAAGGATAAGTGGTTGGTGGAGAGGACTCCAGTGTGGTCTAGACATGAGGATGCTGGGCAACACGGGCAGGGGAGAGGACAGGGAATCAGTAGAGGCCAAGGGTATTGCTGTCCTGAGCACACAGATGCTCCACCGTTCTCGGGACCCGTCATGTGCCAGCCTTTGAAGGCGCTGCCATAGGGACACTCTTTCCCACTGCCTTCTGCTCTAGCCAGAAGTTGTACTGTCCCACAATGCCCTTTGACCTCCCAACCTTTTATCTCATCTGCAATCCAGGGGACAGAGGCTCATCCACACAGGGCACACAGGGTCCAAAGCCAGACACTGTGTAGAGCCCACACTCACGCTTCCACTCCTCAAGGGTGCGGTCTACGTCATCAAAGGAGTCATCATATTTCTGGGCCTTGGACTCATCCTCGGTATCCTGCAGGGACTCAAAGTACGGATGGGCCAGTGCCTCAGCTGCCGTCACCCGCTGTTCTGAGTCCAGCACCAGCATCTTTTCTAGAAGGTTCACAGCTGTGGGGAGAGCAAATGAGGCCAAGCCACGGAATAGGACGCACCTAAAAGCCTAAGATCTTCACCCACCCAGCCCTACCCTGAGGGCTTGCGTTGGTCAGGACAGAGGCAAAATCCTTTTTTTCCAGCTCAGGAAGGCCTTCCATGTAGTTCTTGGCCTATGGGGGTCAGGGGAAGAGTGATAGGCCAGCTCCCAAACCCAAGTCCAGCTCACCACCCAGCTTCCCACTGACCTCAGCACTCTGTAACTTCTGTACAAACTCAGGAGGGGGTGTCCCTGTGACCTTCATGATCTCCTTCAGCTGGTCCAGGTCTGTACCAAGGTCAGGAACACAGTGCAAGGGCAGAAGGTGGCCCACCCAGCACCCACACCTGGGCTGAAGTCCCATGGTGCTCTGCATAGAAGGATACGGTCACTGCCTTTGAACAGAATCTTCCCTGTAATCATCTCCGCCATGATGCAGCCGACAGACCAAATGTCCACTGAGATACACATCAGTGCCCCACAGACAAGCATAGCATTCATATTCACGAGAGTCAAGAGAAGAGGACATGCAAGAGACCATATATGGAAGACAAATATACATGACCAGGAGGGGTGTACACAGGGAGGAGAGTAGCAGAGCTCCACCCCAGCTCAGGAGCCTCCTGGAGGTAGTGCCTACAAAAAGCTCCCTATCAAGAAATGAGGAAGGGGGCTGGAGAGAGGCTAATCAGTTAAGAGCACTGGCTGCTCTTCCAGAAATCCTTGGTTTGGTTCCAGTAACCCCATGGCAGCTCACAACTGTCTGTGACTCCAGTTCTAGAGGATCCAATTCCATCTTTCCGGCCTCTGCACTCACCAAGTACACACGTAGATAAGCACTTATACACATAAAATTTTTAAAAATGGAAAAGGTGAAACATGTCTTTAATTCCAGCACTTGAGGGGCAGAAACAGGTGGATCTCTGTGGATTCAAGGCCAACCTGGTCTACATTGGGAGCTCCAGGAATAGCCAGAGCTATACAGTGAGACTATATCTCAAAGTCAAAAAAAAAAAAAAAACAAAACAAAACAAAAACAACCAAAAAGTATAAAATGATGATGATGATGATGGTGATGATGATGATGAAGGAAGGGCTGAACTGAGGTGTATCGCAATGATAGAGCACTTGCCTAGCATGAATAAGACTCTCTGTTCCATCCCACACAGAAACAAATAAAAGTGAATGGGTAAATGGAGGTGGTGAGTGTGTGCTGGGATCTTCAGATAGCCTCTTTCTTACCTGTCTGAGTGTAGCGCATCCAATTCAAGATGACCTCTGGTGCCCGGTACCACCGGGTCACCACATATCCCGTCATCTCACTGTCTGCCTGTCTGGCTAGGCCAAAGTCTAGGATCTAAAGAAGTATCGGAGGTGGAACTAAGACACTGAGGACAGGCCAAATGTGGTCCAGAAGACTCTAAGAAGCTGGGCTTGAAGTCTCCACACTGGAGCTTTTGCCCACTTTGGTCTTGGTTCTCCCAGGCTTCTCCCTGAGGTCAGTTCACCTGGCCCTACCCACTTCAGGAGCAAGTGCTAAGGATTTTTCTCTACTTTGCCATCCCCTGATCACTTTTAGGAGCCTCCAAACTCCTGCCCTTGGTGACTAGGGACGTTAGCCACTCTTTACCTAAAGCAGGTACCTGGCCCCAGGACCCATTAGCTGCTCAGCCTCAGATGCCTGAGGTCTGTTCCTTTTCCTGGGATAAAGGTCAAGAAGGCCAGTAGGGTGACAGAAGGGGCCCCACCCCCATCTTGGTCACTTTCCCCACCCAGTGACACCTTCAGCTCACAGTCTTCATTCACAGCCAGGTTGCCAGGCTTCAAATCCTGAGGGAAGAAAGACGGCCACTGTGACTCCCCTGCCAGAGCAAGACCCAGGCAGCACTTTCCTAAGGCCACCAAAACAGGCCTGGCCCTTTTAAGGGAGGGCAGAGGGCTGGGGTCCCCAGAGCAGGCTTTCAACTGGAGACGGATTATATGCATTCCCACTATACTTCTGTTTTGCCTTTTTATGGGTTAGCAATGGAAGCTGAGTTTGAGCACCTCTGTTTACATAGGTGGGGAAGAGCAGACTGGTAATCTGCCAGCTCCACCAAGACTCACCCTGTGGATGACACCAGCAGCGTGGATATACTGTGAGAGAGAGGGAGTTCGGCCGTCAGCTCAGCGGGCGCCCCAAGCCTCACAGCTCTACCCTGCCCAGCCAGGAAGCTCTGTCCGCCTCCCTACGGCCACCTCAACTTACCTTCAGCCCCTTCAGCATCTGATACACAAGAAACTGGATTCTGTCTTCACTCAGAGTCTCATGCTTCATCAGCTTGCCCAGATCAGTGCCCATGAACGGCATCACCAGGTAGCTGTGGAAACAAGGGATGCAGCCAATGCAGGGCTAGTCCCTAGACCTAAGCTAACACCCACTGGGCCCAGTTCACACCTTGCCACACCCCATCCCAGCAGGAGCCACTACAGTATTACTCTGTGGCACCCATTCCTTACTATCTTTGGGGTCCTGCCATACTGTGATGCTTCAATCCCACTATGCCCTGCTAGGCTCCTACTTTCTGTCCACACCTATCTTGGGCAGTTACACCATCTCGATGCATGCTCATATCCCTACTTTCCAAAATGGCAGGCAGGGTTTAGGGGGACTTTGTTTTTGAGGAAAGGTCTCACTTTGCAGTCCTTTCTGGCCCGGAACTCACTGTGCAGACCAGGATGACCTCAGACACACAGAGAGCTCTGCCCCTGCCCCTGCCTCTGCCTCCTAAGAGCTGGAATTAAAGACCTTCATCCCCACATTTGGTCTTGTTTTGTTTTCAGTTTATTTTTTACATGTCTAGATGTTTTGTCTCCATGTATATTTGTGCACCACGTGTGTGCAGTGCTCGTGGAAGCCAAAAGACGGTATCAACTCTCCTGGGACTTGAACTATAGACAGTTGTGAGCTACCTTGTAGGTGCTGGGAATCAAATGCCGGTCCTCTGGAAGAACAGCCAATGCTTTTAACCACTGAGCCATCTCTCCAGCCCTTAGCTCTTGGTTTTATGTTTTTGTTTGTTTGTTTGTGTGTTCTGTTTGAGGCAGGGCCTCATGCAGCCTAAAATGGCCTCAAACGTCTGGTCCTCCTACCTCCATCTCCCTGGGATTACAAGTGTGTGTTATCACACTCTGCCTCAGGGTTTTAAAATTCCTGACTGAATAGCATCATATGCCAGGTGAGCAGCTAGGGCTGCACCTGGAGCTGGCACTTCAGATCATTTAGTTGTATTGATACTTCAGGCACTGTGAGGGCCCAAATGCCAGGCATAAAAGGAAGAAAAGGTTTGGTTCTAGTAGGGCAGTATCCAGGAGAACCTATAGTATATGGGAGTGTGGTGAGGAGCTAGTGGGCAGTAGGCATCTCAGCCTTCACTTGGGCCATGGAAAGAAGGCCTCCAGCCTGCTTAGAACCTGAAGCCAGTACCCAGAAGCTGTTCAGGTCCCTCCTTCCACACACAGGGTAACCAGGAATCTGGGGCAGGAGTTGGGGCTGCAAGGTTAGATGTTCAGGTGGTTGGAGGGATAGACAAAGGAGAAAGACATCATCCACCCCAGGGGACAATGATGCCATAGTATATCTCGACCTTTGCCAGTCAGCAGTGAAGAGCTTGTCACCCACTCCAGCCCTCTGGTTGATTACAGTATGAGTCCAGGGATGACCAACCATAGGATAGGACAGGCCCTATCTGCCAGTAAAAAGCAGCAATAGTTCAGATTTGGGGCCACATACTGGGTGCCAGGATCTTGAACACAAACATCCTATCCAAGGTTCAAACTTGAGGCAATGTGAGGGTCTAAGTACCAAGCTTGGAAGAAGAAAGAGCCATGGCGCTACCAGGGCATGGCAGGGTTCATAGCTCCCAGGAGCATGCAGGAGTGTGAAGTGGACTCTGGTAAGAGGAGTGGGTGGCCAGTGTGTACCCTATCCCTCACTTGGGCTATGTGAGAAGGCCCCCGATCTGACCCAGAACCTTAAGCTGACACCTAGGAGCCACCTAGGTTCCTCCCACTCTGAGCCAGTCCAGGCCAGCACTCACAAGTCTGTGAAGTCATCCAGAGTCTCATCAGGAGTGAACACATCCAGTAGGCCAATCACCTGGGGAACAAGGGTCAGACAGGATGGAGAGCACATAGCAGACGCAAGGACTCAGTGCGCACCAGGGTGGCACTGTACTCCTGGTAGAAAGCCCTCCTATAACTACCCTCGTCTCTTCCACTGTGCCCACTGTCAGCTCAGCCCCCACCCTGGTACATTTGCCCACAGACACAGGCTATTTTTGGATGCTGACAGCCGGGATACTTTGGGGGGAGGGGCAGTCTCAAGTCTGGGTTGACTCCAGGCTTCTGAGCAATCCAACCCCTTAGTCTTCCCTCCCCGCTTCTTTTCTCCCCCAATGAAGCAGACCCAAGACCAAAGTGGGGAAAGTCCCTTGAGAGGCACGAACACCTGATAAGTCCTTCCTGGGGCCATCCCCTGGCTGTCTAGGCCAAGGGGAAGCACCAGTTTAAACACAGCTTCTGGTTGAGGGAGTTGGACAACAGATGGACAGTGTGACATTGGTTTTCTAGGACTTGGTTGGGGGACAGGAGTTTTAGGGTCAAGGGAGGCTTCCCTGAGGAGGGCTGCATATCCATGTATCAGGAGGGATGCGTAAAAGAGCAAAGAGAGGCGGGGTGCCTGATGGCCAAAGCAGGAGCGAAACACCTCCAGAGTAAGGAACAGAGAGGGAGTCCAAGTGGCTGAAGCCCAGGCCAAAGAGGAACCAAGGAGAGGACAGAGGAAGCCGAAGGAAGGCCTCAAACTCACATCCTAGAGGAAGATTTGGATTTGATCCACAGAGCTGCTGTGGATGAAAGGATTTAAACAAAGATGTAACGCTGAGGGGCCAGGCGGTGGTCGTGCACACCGGGAATCCCAGCACTTGGGAGGCAGAGGCAGAGGCAGGCGGATCTCTGTGGATTTGAGGCCAGTCTAGTCTACAAAGCAAGTTCCAAGACAGCCAGAGCGGATACACGGGAGAAACCCTGTCTCAAAAAGCCAGGTGGAAAAAAATAGATATAATATTGAATATGTCCTCTGAGTTCAATGAAAGGACAGAGAGAATGAGGCAAGAATAGACAGAGAGTAAAGGGCAGATGAGTGAACACTTAGATCATGGCCAAAGTTGGAAGGAAGAGCAAGGATAGGAAAGGCCTGGGGACAAACCACAGATGTGACCTGAGAACTTAGCCCATTCTGCAGAACAGATAGGGAATAGTGTCCTAGAGGTCAAGGGAAGTCCATCAAAGGAATAAAACTTCTTCTGCACTTTAGTGGTGTAGAATGTGACCCACAGCCAAGGACCAGAGCTTGAGAAGGAGGGGGATAGGTTAGGGCTAGATCTATGGCAGCCTCATCTCTGGTGAGTGGGGCATACAGCCTGTCCAAACTTCAGTTTCCATGAGGAGGTAGCTACAACCGCAGCCTCCCAGAAGGTGTTGGGTCATCCTGAAGGCTAGCGCACCCAGGTGAGGGCAGGAGCATAGCTGGGTGGAAGACCCCTGGCAAGGCAGAATGAAGAAGCAAGCCCACAACCCTTGGCTGGAGAAGGGTGAAGGGTAGGTAGGTAGATAGGTAGGTGGGAGTTGGGGGCTCTGAGGACAGGGGGTGGGGGCTGCACCCATGAGAACAAAGCCTTTTACTGTTTTTTGTTTGCTTGTTTTACTGTTTACGGGTTTACAGGGAAGTGGGAAAGCAGACACAGCTGGGCTGGCGTTCAGTGTAAGCAGGCTTCACAAAGAAAAGAAATAAAGACCCACCATGTCAGCCAAGAGTGGTAGTGATGAAGCAGTGGGGGTCAGTTTGCTGTTAGCCACAGGGAGTTCATTGTTCCATGGACTATTGACTGATGACCCAGGAGGTTAAAACAGGGCTAGCACAACAGTCCAGATGGGGAATAGAACTCACAGCCTCAGGAAGATAAGAAGAAAAAGCTCCCTGGCTGAGAGAAGGATTCTGATGGCCAGCAATGCCGATATGAAAGGCACCGGAGCAGCCACCTGCAGTATCCTACCACGGGCAGGTAGGACTGGAATTGAGATGCTTTGCCTGAGGGAAGAAACACACACCCACACTGGTGGCAGTAACGCTGCTCTGCTCCTTTTAAGCCCTGTATCCACAGAGACTGAAGGCTTTCGGATGACAGAGCCAGGGTGAATAGTTCTAGCGACCTGCCCGCCTGGAATAGAAGACTCAGGATGTGGGCAAAAGAAGACCTGGGGTGGGGAAGAGATGCTCTTCCAGGAAAACCCTCTTTCCTACCAGCCTGAGACGAGACAGGGTTTGGAGTGAGCCCTAAGGAGCCCTTAGGCCTAGAAGATACCCTGACCACTGCCTGGGCTGAGAAAGTACATACAGGTGGACCAAAAGTGAAACCAAGTCACTGAAGCAGAGGCTGAAAACTTGTAGTGTCGCCCCGATGGAGGTCTGGGATGCCTCCACTTCCTTCCTGGAAGCTGCCGATAGCTTACTCAAGCAGGAGGCTAAGTAAGAAGGAGGTACCAGGCCCCAGGAAGCTGAGGCAGTGGGCAGGATTTGCAGGGGAGGGCAGGATGAGAGGTGGCCAGTGCACAGTGTCCGCTTCTGGGGCGGGCGTATGGACTCACGTTCTCGTGGCGCATGTGTTTGAGGAGGCGCAGCTCTCTGTAGGCGCGCTTGGCAAACAGCTCCGACTGGAAGGGCCGGTACAACTTCTTGATGGCCACCTTGTTACCAGTGCGGCTGTCTATTGCAGAGCTGCGGGGCGGACAGCTTGGCTAGAGAACCCGCCCCGTAATCGCCAGCAGCCGCCTGCCCTGCTTGCCACCCCGTCCGGCGAACGCTCACCACACTGCACCATAGGCACCAGAGCCCACGGGCTGCAGGTCCTGGTACACGGCGCGCACCTCCCAGGCCGTTTTGGTCACCTCCTGGCGGTAAAAGCCCTTGCGGGCGGGTGGCGGGGAGCTCATCCCCGGCCGGAGCACTGCGCCCCAGGACCGGACCCAGGATCAGGGGCTCCGCCCGCGCGCCCCGGGTCACTGCGTAGCACCGGGAGGACTCCGCGCCGCCGGCCCGCCTGCCTGTGGGACTTTCCCTTACAGACTCTTCTCTTGGGGTCGGCACCCTGAACTCTCTGTAACCGCCAGCTCCCACCCGACCCTTGTCTCTGGCCGGCAAAGTGGTCCCTCCCGGCCCACTGACCAACCGGGCCCTTGAGCCCTGAGCACGTGACACCCCCGTCTGCCCTCCGGCCCCTGCGGAAACCCGAGGAGGCCTCCGGGGTTGGGCGGAAGGCTTGGAAAGGGAGGGGGGGGGGAATTGCCCCATAGCTCACTCCGGACCTGGGGCGGGAGGTGTTGCTGAAACACCCTGGCCAGGCTCTATCCTCAATAGACTTCTCGGCCCTGGGGTCTTAGCAGGTGCTTCTCAGAATTTCAACCTTTCCTGATCTTTCAGAACGTTGGGCCCATTCTAGGCAACTTAAGTTCACCAACTTCTATGCCAGCCCCAGGTCAGGTCCACCTGCCCACTTACCAATCACACCCAACCCAATTGTTTTCCTGTTCCTGGCTTAACTCTTCTTTCCCAAGGATGCCCCGCCCCTGGGGCTGATTCATTCTTCTTCTCTTTGGAGGAGGTATTTGGTTCTGTCTCCCAGACATCTCAGGTTGCATTCCCAACCCCATTGTGAGCACTGGCTCTTCATTTCCTAGTCTAGGAACCAGAGGGATTGATCATATGGACTCTTCTAGGGCCCCTTTGCCTCTCTGTTCCCCGCCTTGGCCCCCACCTGGTATGTGGAGTGCCTGCTTTAAGTACTGAATAGGACTGGCCCCTGTATCTACCTCACCTACTATCCAGTTTGGCCTTCAAATCAGAATAAGCTAAAGTGTGTGCCTGCCCCCAGAAAAAAAAAAAAAAAGCGGATCCTATGTGGACTTTCAGCTTGATGCCTCCATGTGAGCTTCTTCTCTGGGATTTGGCCAAGTCCTGAACTAGATGAACCGGGAAGATAAAGCAACCATCCTTCCCACAGCCTGGTGACCAGAGTCCATTCCAGGATCCCACTGGGTTGATGAGTAGTAACAAGATCCCGCAGAATTCTCTTCCCCTCCCTCCATGCCTGCCTGCCTGCTGCCGTGAATCAGCAGCTCAAGGCCAGCCAGGGCAGCTTTACACCTGGGCAGCAGCTGGTGATGTGGCACATTCGCAAGCAGACAAGAGCGGGCAGGGAAGCTCTGGGCCACTCAGACCACATCTGCCTGTATCTGTACCCGCTGGGAGGCCTCTGACCACCCACCCACATCCTCCAACAAACTCCCCAGTTTCCCTCTTTATTCTGTAGGGGACCAATTCAGACCAGGCTTGGGAACTAGGGCCTTGTGTCTGGTTCCACTCCTACTCCTGATCCCCCAACACCAGCTTGGCTCTGGTCTTCTAGCTTTTCTCCTGGACCAGCTGCCAGGCTAAGGCTTCTGGAGGTCCAAGATTCAGGACACAGGCCTGATACATGTGCTGGCTGTATCCTGGGCTAAAGTAAAGTAACCTTTTTGCCTTAGCCAGGAAGGAAAGGACAGCTATTTCCCATATCCTGTCCAATCCCCGGGGAAGAACTGGCCTTTATTCCAGAGACAATCCCACCCCACCACCCCTTTCCAGAGCCAGCCGCATCACTGAGCAAGAAGGAGTCAAGCCTGTCCACTGAATCCCGACGTACATAAAACAGCAGGTACCAATTGTGATGGCTATCACACCATTTTCCCCTTTTAGCCTGTGGATCTTATCCTGCACGGGTCTCCTGGGTTCTTGACCTCTCTACGGAGCTGTGATGGTACCAGAAATGGCCACTGCTCTCACAGAGTGGTCAAGGGGGTGCAACACGTGCCAAGTCTGTGGGGCTAGCTGCAAGTGGGCCAAGCACAAGACCCAACCACCCCTCCAGGCAACGGGAGTAGTAGAAGCAATGGGGTCTGGAGCCTTCCACACAAATAAGAGCAAGAGGGAAGCCCCTTTATTGTGCACTCTTGGTGCAGGCACTTGACATCCAGAGACCCCTGGTCCCTGATAGCAAGAGATCATCGTCTCCTCAGGGAGGAGCCACATCCCAGTGTGTCTTCAAACAGGGTCCTACCTCAAAAATCACTTGGGCAGCTCCTCTCTGGGGAGAGGGCACATAAGGGATGACTCACAGACCACAGCACCCCCAGACCAGCTGTAGAGCTACACAGGTAGGGGGAGGTAGAATGTGGACAGACGTTCGTCAGCTTTGACTCAAGGTCCAGGGGCAAGAGTGTCCAAGTTCATATCCATGGGTGCTCTCCACCCAGCATCTGTGAGATTACACCCCCTACTTCATCCGTTTCCCAGCTGGCAGTGTGTCCTTCTGCCTCCGGATCCTGTAGCAGCTCCTACACTCTAGCCGAAACTCCAGGTTTTTGGCTGGATCTTGGCACCTCTCAGGGTTTTAATCTAGTTCACATCTGGCTCTCAAGACCCAGTAGGCAACAGGAACTTGGAGGAGGGGAGGCAAGAGTGTCTCCAGCTTAGGTGCCCTCCCAGAAATGGCTGCTGACCCCTCGGGTGCTCACAGATTCATACACACCAGCACACGCCTGCATATGTTCTGATGTGTGCACCAGGAGTGTACACTCATTTGCCCACTTGTCCACATATCACAGGTAAACACAAAGCTGCAGCCAGCTTTTCCGATTCAGTATCTAGTGATGGCCTCTGCCTTGCCGCCCCCAGAAGGAATGCCACTCAGTTGCGGGGTGGGGGGGGCCTCAGCTTTCACCCACTCACTTCCAGGTTGAGCTGCTCCAACCACTGGGACTCCCAGCCCCTCAGAGTCTCCAGGTGCCGTGGCCCATTTGCCTTCCTCCCAGTCCAGAGAGTTCTCAAGAGCAGAAGAGATCCAGACAGGGACCCATTAAGATCCCACACACTGAGGTCCCAAGGAGAACCTGGGTGGGCCAAGGTGGGCCCAGAAACGCTACTGCCCAGGCTCCAACACATGATGGCAGGCATATCTGTGCATCCGTGCGTGTATGTAGGTAGAGTTCTCTCAAGGCAAGGGGTCCCAGGTTAAGGGTCAGGGCTGCCTGAGAGGCACCTCCTGAGGAAAACTGGAAAGCTGAGGAAAGGGGGGCAGGCTCAGGCCTCCCCTCAGGCCTCACTGCTCAATCTCATGGGTGCCAGGTAGCTGTGATGGCTCCAGGGGCTTGAAGCTAAGGACTTCCTGGTAAGTAAGCTCTGAGGGAATGAAAAAAGGGTGAGATTGTGCTGTTGTCCCCGCCCACACACAACCCAGTTCCCCACCTGCATGTGTGGCATCTGCTTCCCAGCCCACATCTACCACTGTCTAAGCTGAGAACCAGAGCCTGCCTTACACCACGCTGTCCTCCAAGCAGCTCGCGCGCGGTCTCTCTCTCTCTCTCTCTCTCTCTCACACACACACACACACACACACACACACAAACACACACACATGCCTCTTTACATGTTTCACTCTGGAGTGCAGTCATGTTGTTTCTCCTTTCAGGTTACTGGGAGAAAGTTCTGAGGGAGTTTCTTGCATGAAACATAAACTCTTGCTCTGAGAAAATGCAACCCACAGACTTCTTGGGCTGCGCTCCCTCTCCCGTGCCCCTCGCCCCGTGCTCACCCTTCCACTCCTCCAGGGTGCGCTCCTTGGCCTCAACACTTTCATCATAGGGCTCAGCCTCTGGCTCGTCGTCAGGGTCATGGTACTGGCTGAAGTACGCATGAGCCAAGGCTTCAGCTGCACTGACCCTTTGGTCACTGTCCAGCACCAGCATCCTTCCAAGGAGGTCTACAGCTAGAGGAGCGAGGGTCAACACTACATCCAGTCCTGGATCTGAAGCCCAACCGAGACCCAGGACCAGTCCTCACCCAGAGGGTTGGCTCCATGGAAGACACTGCTGAGGTCCTTCTGGGGCATAGGGGGCAGAGACTGGATGTATGTCCGAGCCTGGGGACACATAAGAAGGGCTTGGAGGGCTAACTACCCTCGATTTCCATGGCCCCAAACTGAACAGAAGGCTTCAGGAGACTGCCCTGATGCATTCATTCCAACAGGCCTGGCAGGTGCCCCAGCAAGCAAGAGTCTTGCTCTCTAAGTCTGAGGGCTCCCTAGTAGTAGAGGTGCACGCCTTTAATTCCAGCACTCTGGAGGCAGAGGCAGAGGCAGGCAGATCTCTGAGTTCAAGGCCAGTCTGGTCTACAGAGCAAGTTTCAAATCACCCAGGGCTACACAGAGAAACCCTGTCTCCCAAAACAAAACCACAAAAATGTCTAGAGACTCCAAACTTCCTTTTGGCCTCTGATGATGTCTGCAGAAGCCAAATGTTCTAAGCTTTCTCTGCTCTCGCCTGCCTCTACCGTTTATAGCCAGAGGGGTTTTGTCAGTGTTGGTCGGTTGGTCTCCACCGTCTCTCCTACCTGGAATGTCCTCCTGATTCTCCTGCTTCACCCTGAAGGGGGTTGAGTTTCTAGTACAAGCTCTCTCCTGCTCTGTCCATGTCTCTGATATGTTGCCCATTTATCTGCATACCACCCCCTCCCCAACATGACTGGTGCTTGGCCAGCAGAACAAACGGATGGATGGGTGGATGGCCACTAACTTACATGCTCCGAGGATATCTTTGCCAGAACCTCAGGGCTGGGTGTGCCCACCACCTCCATGATTCGCTTCAGCTGGTCGATGTCTGCCTAGCTCAGGAAACACCCGGAGGCCAAGCCTTTCCAGCCCCAGCCCCTAGTACACTGTGGCTCCGTGGCCCCAGACAGGGAGCCCCACGTGTCATGGCATAAGAAGCAAGACTTCGAAAAAGGGCTGGAGACCACCCCTACCCTGTAGAATGGGACCCCAACTTGACCCTGCTCCCCAAGGATACAGTCATTTCCAGGAAAGAGGGCCTTCCCTTGGAGCAGCTCAGCCATGATGCAGCCCACAGACCAGATGTCCACTGTTGGGGGAGAATAAGGAGACTCTATCAGTATACCACCCAAAGCCTTCCTGTGGAGCTGGGGAGAAGAAGCCTGCCCAGTGACCCCTCATCAAAGCCAGGACCAAAGAAGCCAGTGGTACCCTTATTCTGTACCCTACCCTGAGAAGAGGCGTGGGGACACCCACCAATCTATAGGCCTTTCTTTTAGATTGTCCCACCAAGCCCTTGCCCCTCACTCAGAGCTCCAGGCATGCTCTTCTCCCTATGCCCACCGGCTT